GGTCACTCAGGGCCTTCAGAAGCACGTTGACCAGGCTCTTAACTTCAGGGTTGCTAATGACCTCTCCAAATCGCTGCAGACTGCGGTTTGCTGCGTTACGGACTTCCTTGTGCGTATCGTTAAGGACAATGGTAAGAGGCGGGATGATATCAGGCAGACTAGCAGCAAGCTGTTGCGGGTCGAGATAAGCCATGGCTCCGAGAAGGTCGCAAGCACCTTTCTGACTACGCCATTGAGTATCGTCCAGACCGTCGAGCAGTGTAGGAAGAATCTTCTTCACACCATACGAGCTGAGGTTCTGGAAGCAAGCCTTGGAAGCATCGAGACAGGCATCACGGACATCAATGTTGACGTCGCCGAATCCTGCAAGAAGCTGGGGAACGATCTGGACGACATAGGGCTCAAAGGTACGTCCAAGGACGAAGGCGAAGAGCTCATATGCCAATAGAGCTCCCTGTCTCTGATGAGGCTCCTTCTTGTTTTCGGTGGCATCGGTTAACAGACTCATGATTCGGAACTCCCGTAGTGTTGAAATGCCCTTGCCAGCCACAATACCTGCGAGACCGTAGGCAGCACCGCGCTGAGTGGCGTAATTCTTGGCATTAAGGAGTGAATCAATCATTTCCTTGACATATTCTGCCGTTTTGGGACCAGAAAGTCTGATCAACGGAGGCAGACACTCTGACACAGCGGATTGAACGCTTTCGGAGGGAGTAGGGAGGGTAGCAAGAAGCTTCTTGACGACGGTCTGCAGACGAGGGTCCTCGGCCTTCAAATGCCGGGCCAGAGATCCGTAGAGTACCACGACCGCCTCGTTCAGCAGGTCAGAGCTCTGGGTCGCCTTATCAGAGGTTTCTAGTGTGGTCTCAAGGAGCTTCATGAGATCCTCAACCTTTTGCTGGGCACGTTCAGCAATAATGGACTTGCCACTCTCCTGCATCTGAGATCGGACAGAAGGATTCTTGTCGATAAGAGGGCCTCTCTCTATCAAGAATTGAAGGAAAGAAATGATCTGCTCGCCTTCGAAGAAGCCGGTCATGGCACTGAATGCAAGAGCGATACCGCTTCGGGGCTCCCAAACGTCGGTGTTGTCAACCTTCTTGGGCATGCCATAAGCATCCTTTTCGGGAGCCTTGGGTTTAACCTCGTTCGAATACTTGGCCTGGAGTTCAGCCAAGATACCGTCGAATTTGCTCTTGTCGGTCTCGATCGCAGCAGCCAGGGCACGGGCGGCGGCACCCCGGAGTTGACTGTCCTTGGAGTCCAAGTATTTCATGATCTGAGCGTAGGCAGTCTCATCCACCTCCAAGGCGTTCTCCTCCCAGATCGAGTCTGCGATCACAGCATTCTCTTCCACGTGGTCGTGGCGGCTCAGCCAGATGTGCTCGGAGAAGTCAAGATCTGTCAGATCGATTTCGTCGTCGATCACTTGGAGAACAGATGTCCTGACAGAGGCTTCGGAGACAATAGTACCCTCCAGGAGAACATTCAGTTCCTCGCTGGTGAGATTGGGAGAAATACAGCGGCAGATGTCAAACAGAGTATCCTTGATCAACTTGTAGTGCTGAGTATATCTCTGCATAGCGGAGAGAAGCTGCTGGAGAACTTCAACACGAGGCAGGCGGACATCAGCAAAGGAACTGGAGTGGAAGGACAGGAATTCAAGAGCAAGTAGGACCTGCTCGCCTTCGGTGTCACCCTTGACTTCGTTGATTCCATTCCGAGTCAGGATCAATGAGATCAAGGGGAACACATAGGCGAGGGACGGGATGTCCAGAGGACGCTGTTCAGATGCGAATCGCAAGCGGTACAGAATTCGTGTAACAAGTTCTCCAAGCTGCTCTCTCTCCATATCCGCGGGCAGATTGGTATTTCCGATGGCGCGCAGGGTTGCAATTCCCACGAACGGCCGGGTGTTGCCCAGGCGCGACGACAGCTCGTTGGCACAGACGATATACGCCTGAGACACAACATCGCCAACAAACAGGCCAGCGCCAGCATCAGCAAGAGAGAGAAGGCAGCTAACAGCGGCGTTGATCCACCCTTCGGGGTCATTGGCAGGACCAGTCGCAAGACCGCGGATGAGGCCAGCTCCTCGTTCGATTCGCTTGACTTCTTGAAGGACTTCCTTTCGGATCTCTGCTTCCTTCTTAAGTTGAGCATTGACCTTGGATTGCTCCTCCGCAGTGAGCTTCTTTGCCTTCTGGCCCTTCTTCTCTGCCAGCTGTGCCCGGAGCTCTTCCTCCCATTTCAAAGTATCGTAGTCCTTGGTGCTTCTGTTGAAAGTAGGCTGCTTAGACTTGCTGCTCAACACATCAACAAAGACGGTCCCCTCGGGAGTACGGGAGATAGCGGCGTCGGTGGCAGTAAACTTGGCAAGACGAGCGCCGTCCAGGTCTTTTTTGATTTGCTCGACGAGACGGGGGATCATGACATCGGGAGCAACGAACGCCAGATCACCTGCGGCAGACCACACAGCGACGTTGATGTTCGGTACAGCTGACTGGACAGGGTCTGTGTTGATACGGACTAATTGCTCGATGCACTCTGCGGGGTGAGCGCGGACTAGGTTACCGGGATCGGTGCTTGTCCTCAAGCACAAATCAATCCAAGAAGCACTCGGGATCATTTCTTGACGGCTAAGGACAAGGATGCTGATAAGTTGATTATCAAGATCAGGAGAAGGACACGCAGATCCTTCCTTAGGAACAGGACAGAGGCCCTTCAGGACCAGATGAAGCAAACGCTCGCTCGCGGGTCCTGCAGAAACAGCAGCCGATTCCTTCTCCGCGGTGCGGAAAGACACCATCCAAGCCCAGAGTGCGTCGACGACAATACGTCCGATGGATGCAACATCCTCATTGTGAACTTCGGACAGGGTTCTTACGGCAAGTTCACGGAATTTGGTAGACATGGAGGGACCGGTAATGGCATAAATAAAGGCCTGACCCCAAGCAATCTTCGCAGAACCTTCAGCCTCCTTGAACTTAGCACCAGAAGTGACAGCCCCGAGAGCTCTGACGAACCATTGCATCTCAGCCTGGGATCCCACTTTGGAGTAGGCCTTTGGGTTGAGAAGGAATGAGGGCTTTGAGCCCATGATCATGGATTGCGAGGCCTTCTCTTCCCATGTGGACTTATCGGAGCTTGAAACGTCCGCAATACGCTGGAATAGAGACAGGAAAACGTAGGCGGAAGACAAGGCACCGCTTTGGGCGGAGGGGAGCGGGTTGGAGGCAACCTCTCCAAATAGATCCTTCATCTTCGACATAAACTTGGTGACGAGGGGCTCAACCTCGGCGCTCTTTAGAGCAGCAACATCGGATGTCCACAGCACTTCGCCGACATTGAGCTGCCAGATCTTCCGGAAAGGAATTCGCTTTTCGGAAATGCCCTTGACAATGGTGTTGATAATATCGTCGCTGACCTTTACGGAGGATTTGATAAGGAAAGCAAGATGGGCGTCGAAGGCTTTGAGCTCTTCTTCCAGAGCGGCCTCGTTAGACTCTCGCGCGAAGAGAGGTCCGAATCCCTGGACAATTTCTTTCGAGACGTTCGCAGACAACGGAACAGCCGAGAGCGCCTGCGCATAAGCAATACGATGCTCAGGAGCGGTAATCTTCTGTGATTTCAAGGGACCGATAATTTCGGTAGCGATCTTCTGGACCAAGGACTCGGTCTTGCAACGAGAGAGCAAGGATTTGAAGGAGTCGGCAGCTCCTTGTCTAACTACCACATTGTTCGACTTCATGCTAGTCAAGAGGTGTTTTGAGAAACGAGTCTGGACCAACTCTGAGAGGTCAATTTCTTCCGGCAGAGAGGAGCTGAAAGGCGGGATCACGCCTGTCAAGATCACCTCGGGTGCTCGCAGCATGGATTTCTCCATCGGAGGTACCAATTCAGTGGTCACATCTTCGGCGGTGACAAAGGAGGCAAAGAAGTCCGTCATTCCACCGGCTATATGTGAAGGCACCGCATTTTTCGAGCTGATAATCTCCTTGACATAGTAGGCCAGAATTTCCTTCTTTGACTCCGCAAGAATCGGCTCTCGGGCTGGCAGTCGTGCGCAAACTCCGGAGATGACTCCCAGAAGCAACGCATTCTTGGACCCTGCCGCTGTGTCTGCAGTCAAACGGCTGACGGATTGACGCACAGCATCCTCGCCCCATGTCTGGTTGGAAAACACAGCGCGGAGAGCACGCCTGGTAACCCGGAGAGCCGATAGCCTCACTGGAGGCTTAGGTGTGTGCGCGAAGCAGTTTTCCAACGCCTTTGCATCCACCGCGATCAGGTCCAGAACACTAGCCAAAGGTGTGGCCTCATCCTCGCTAATCTGCTGCAAGAGAACGCAGCACCACTCCAGTAGAATGAATGCAGAGGCCGAGTTCAGACCACCTTTCGCTGCCTCAATCTGCAGTTTTTGCGTCAAATATTGTAGGTGTTCTGTGGCGGCTGGTGCTCGGAGGATGTTGCGGAGGCATTGCTGAACAGCCTGTCGTGATGGTCGATCAACGTAGCGGGGGTAGGTTTGGAAGAGTAGCACTAGGATATCGTGGTGGAATTCCGGAGACAATTCGGATCCTACAAAATGTCAATTCCCATCCCTTGCCCGCGGAGAGTAGATTAGTCTTACCGATCCTATCGCGAAGTTCTTGCAGGGCCCGGAGCCTGCGCGAGGTCGAGCTCGAAAAGAGCGCGACCTGCAAGGGCTCCAGATCCCCGGCCTTGACCTGGTCCCATGGAATTCCATCCATGGTAGGTCAATACGGGGGAGGTGGTGGGTGGAGGGAGGAATTTGGTGAAGGTGGGCTGGGATTGAATGCTGTCATAAGAGTTTTGTGTGGGGACAAGAGCTGGTTCCGCTCTTAATCGTCATGTCCGCTCGACTTATTTCCCTTCACCACTTCACACCCCCCTGGTAAGTCTCTCGAACTGTTTTCTCTCCTTGATCGCCTCATCCAAATTCTTATGAGTGTGATCGCCCACAGATTCTTTCTATAATGCCGCCAAACAATAAGAAAAAGAAGAAGGCCGTGTCCAACCCGGCTCGCGGCTTCGCAACTGTCTCCGTGCCTTCCAAACCCAAATCAGAGGGCACAGAAACTCCTTCTACAGTGACAGGAGAGTCGAAATCCACGCCGCAGAATGAACCGCAACCCGCACGTGCTGAAGAACACCCCGCCGTTGCGGCCACACAAGATGCCGCCCCCTCATTACAAGATTATTCGCCCGAAGAACTCGAGAAACATTTGGAAGAGGCCGAACTACAGATCTTGGTCGACAAATATGCATCGAGGTGCAAGAGCGATGGCGTGCGCCAGGCCACCAAGTTGGAGAATGAGAAGCGAGTCTTTCGACAGCAATCGGTGACATTGAATCTGCTAGAATGGCTTCCGATCGAGATGCAAGACAGAATTATGGAATTGGCTAGTACCGAGGAACACGACTACCTTATTGCAAACGCACGAAATGTTAGCGCCAAGCAGGCTGGCTCGGAGGAGGAGCTCTACATGAAGGTGTGGACTTTGAAAGAAACTCTCCTCAAACTTGGATTTCCGGAAAACCGCACCGAGGAAGCACTTAAACATGTTCTACAATACTTTTCTGGGAACCCAACCAATGCCAGTCGTGATGTGGTATGGAACTTGGATGAGGCTCTTGAGTGGTTAGCCACACATAGCGACAAGAAGGAGCTTCCTTCCTATGTGCAAACAACACCCCGGCCCCAAAAAGACGAGAACAGTGTAACCTCGTGGATGATTGGTAAGTCCAGACTATGTCTTTGTCGAAAGAACGAAATGCTGACCTCCTGCAGAAACAGAGCCATCACGGTCCTCCACTCCCAACAAATCAAATGGAAACAAGCAAGGAAAGCCAAAGGCCGATTGGAAGTCCGCAAAATCTGCGCCTCTTATTTCTTACGACTCCGATAGCTCGATTGATCCCGATACCATGGTTCCAGAATGGCTGGACATGCAGACCAAGCTCTACGGTTTACAGCCAGACCTGTTCGATCGCCCCGGTAAGGGTAAGAAAGGTCATGGGCCAGCAGCAAGTCAGTCTGACGATCCTGAGGTGTTTAAACTTCAGCGAAAGATCGCAAAAATCGAAAACGATGTTCTCTTTGAGCGTCGCGAAGCTGAATACTTCTGGAAAGACAAGCTTGACGAGCTCAGAAAGGATGCGAGCTTTATCCGTCGGCCGCCTGAGAAAAAGAAGGAGGAGCCGCCCGCTGAGGAACAGCCAGCTATGCCAGCACTTGATGGACTCGATTTGAGTATGCCATCAATGGACGAGTTGGATGGTGCTGGGCTAGGTGACATGTTCCAGGAGCAAACAGAAGGTTCCGGATCAATCCTTGGTCTTCCTACCCCTACGACTGGAATTTCCACCACTCTTCGTGACTTTGGGAAGACTACGGGTCTCAGTCCTCGACGTGTGCTGGAAGAGACTTGCAAAGCCAAAGACTCGGCATGTAAAGTTGTCTATCGGGATACTTCTATATCGGGTCATCATAACAGGCAGGCAGTCGAAGTGCGGTGGTCCAAACCGCAGGAAGCCCCGTTCCCGCTTGTTGTGGAGTCGGTTACTCACAAGTCGAATGAATTCGCTACTTTCGTTTCAATGGATTCTTTGGCAACTCCGACTGCTCAGCAGGCAGAAGGATATGTCTCGACTCTTGCTCTGTTTATCTTATTCCCCCAAAGCTCCAAAGAAGGCAAGGCCTACCTGCGTTTGCCCGCGGTGTGGAGAGATCTTTGTACCGAGTTCTCCAATCTCAAGAAGACCCAGGAGGACGAGGTTGACAAGAACGCAATCAAAGACTTGAAGCGTCTGGTGCAAGAGAACCAAGGCAGCTTCGAGGACGATGTGGTGCTATTGGACAATTTCCGCAAGAGGAATGGTAACGGTAGCAAGCCTGGCAGCCCGTTGAAGGGTCCTGCCCGTGATGGCTACTTTGGCCTCGACGAACGGTTACAGGAGGCTTGGGCAGCCAAGTCATCTACCCCGTCTTTCCACCGCATGATGCAGGGCAGAATGACCCTCCCCATCTGGAACTTCAAGGATGAAATTTTACACACCTTGGATACTCACCGCGTCATTATCATTTGCAGTGAGACGGGTAGTGGAAAGAGTACTCAGATTCCTTCTTTCATCCTGGAGCACGAGATGCTTCAGGGCCGTCCCTGCAAGGTCTACGTGACGGAACCTCGTCGTATCTCAGCCATCTCATTGGCACGACGTGTGAGCGAAGAGATGGGAGAGAGCAAAAACGATGTTGGTACTATTCGTTCTCTTGTTGGTTTTGCGGTGAGGCTGGAAAGCAAGATCAGCTCTACTACTCGGCTGGTTTACGCGTAAGTAACTGCCTTACTATGATTCGAGTTTTCGAGATGACGCTAACATATTTCAGGACTACTGGTGTTGTTGTTCGTATGCTAGAGCGACCAGAAGATTTCCAAGATATAACTCACGTTGTTTTGGATGAAGTCCACGAGCGCACGATCGATAGCGATTTCCTTCTTGTTGTTCTCCGAAGACTTATGCAAAAGCGCCCCGACCTGAAGCTCATTCTCATGTCCGCTACTGTCGATGCCCAGCGCTTCTCAAACTACCTTGGTGGCGTCCCAATCATGAACATCCCCGGACGGACGTTCCCCGTGGAAATGAAATATCTTGAAGATGCAGTTGAGATGACAGGCTACCGATTATCCGAAGATGACTCGAACGGAACTCTGGACGATGATCCGGATGAAGTCTCCGATTCCAACGGAGATACCGCCGTCGGCGGTCTTCAAGCCAGTCTCGAAGGGTACTCCAAGCAAACCCGTGAGACCATTCTCAACTTCGATGAGTACCGGATGGATTACCAGCTGATCAAGAAACTGCTTTTGAGAATTGCTACCGCACCTGATATGGAACATTACAGCAAGGCAATTCTGGTTTTCATGCCCGGTCTTGCAGAGATCCGCCGTTTGAATGATGAAATTCTCGCCGAGCCAACCTTCCAAAGGGGATGGATTGTGCATGCCCTTCACTCCTCGATTGCCAGCGAAGATCAAGAAAAGGCGTTCAATGTGCCTCCCGAGGGCACAAGGAAGATTGTCATTGCGACCAACATCGCAGAAACGGGTATCACCATTCCAGATATCACAGCAGTGGTTGATGCAGGAAAGGAGAAGATGATGCGCTTCGACGAAAGAAGACAACTCTCTCGACTGGTCGAGTCTTTCATCTCTCGTGCCAATGCGAAGCAGAGACGTGGTCGTGCGGGTCGTGTTCAGAATGGTATCTGCTTCCATCTATTCACTAAACATCGTCACGACAAGCTGCTCGCAGAACAACAGACCCCCGAGTTGCTTCGTCTTTCTCTGCAAGATCTGGTACTGCGAGTCAAGATTTGCAAGCTGGGTGAGGTTGAGCAGACCCTTCTCGAGGCCCTGGACCCACCGTCTCCAAAGAACATCCGACGTGCCATTGACTCTCTCAAGGAAGTCAAGGCTCTAACGAGTAACGAAAGCTTGACACCATTGGGATCGCAACTGGCAAAACTGCCGCTGGATGTCTTCTTAGGCAAGCTGATCATCCACGGAGCTTTCTTCCGCTGTTTGGATGCCGCAGTCAGCATTGCCGCCATTCTCTCATCCAAATCACCATTCGTGAACACGATGGGCTCGAACTCGCAGCGCGATGCCGCCCGAAACGGCTTCCAAAGAGGTATGAAAACTACACCAAGTCTTTTGACAAACCCCCGCTAATCATTCTTAGGTGACTCCGATCTTCTAACTGTGTATAACGCCTACTGCGGCTGGAAACGCGCCAAAAGCACCCCCGGCTCCAGCGAATACGCCTTCTGCCGCAAGAACTTCCTCAGCCCGCAAACCCTCCAAAGTATCGAAGATGTCAAGCTACAACTAATCACCTCAATCGTCGACGCGGGGATGATCAATCTAGATGCCTCCCAAAAGACAGCACTCAGCCGGTAACAACCCCTCTATTCCTCCCATACCATTGTTATCAAAACACCAAACTAACAACCCCGCACAGAGCACGCTCAAGTAACCGCCAACGCCAGATGTTCACCATCCCCGAAGAACACGATCTAAACAGCACAAACGACGTCGTCATCAACTCCGTCGTCGCTTGGAGCTTCTATCCCAAACTCATCACCCGCGAAGGTAAAGGATGGCGTAACGTCGCCAATAACCAGACCGTCACGTTGCATCCAACATCCATCAACAAACACGCTGATCACGCTATCAAATGGCTTTCTTATTACCATATCATGCAAGCGCGGAATCGGAATCTGAACGCTCATGATACCAGCGCTGTTGATGATTTCTCTATTGCACTGCTATGTGGTGATGCTGAGTTCAAGGTACGTCTTCTCCAAGACTCTACCCCCGTCTCTCTACAAAGTAGAGAAAAGGTACTAAACTGGCTTAGTTATACTCGGGCGTCATCTCAATCGACGCAAACAGAATCCGCTTCTCACTGCGAGACTGGAAAACTATGCTCACGCTAAAAATTCTCAATTCCCGTCTTCGCGATCTTCTCGCGGCCACATTTAAGAACCCACATAAGCCACTTTCTTATAAGCAGCAGCAGTGGTTGGATGTTTGGCAGCAGATCTTTGCGCAGGCTTGGAAGCGGTGAACTTGATTCGTTGAAGCTAGGCTTGTTTTGGTGTTGTGCACTTTGCATTGGTTATCCTGCATGAATATCTGGGTTTGATTTTTATTTGTATGTATGGGTATAGTGGTTGTTGCATTGTACTAGTGGTTTTGCTTGGTTTATGTCTTGATGAGTGTCATGATTGGGTGTGCATATGATAGATGACTTCTTTTCTTCTTGGTGGCGCTATGATAGACTTGGATAGATGGGTGGTTTTGCACAGTTGGGTTTGAGTATAGTTTACTATGGTACCGTGCACAAATGCATGTGAGGTCAAAGGCAATCTCCAAATGCCATTCCATCCTCCATCGTATTCCACTACCCGGAGTCAGGATTCATGCTTGGCATGAGTCGAGTCATTACAAGGACTACAAGCCTACTTTCAAAACTACTAAATTGCATCAGAATAAGTCATCAATCAATCCATTGAATTTGCAGGCCAAAAAAAAAAGAAAACCCAGGCAGACATTGTATATCGCTATGGAGTTCATACCCGAGGGGTAAAGGTTTCATGATCAATCATTACCATCATATCGTCTCTCTAAAACAGAACCAGAACGTAGGTCGTTTGGAACCCACGTAATGCCAAGAAAGACCCATTTTCTGACCGCACAACAATAAAATGGTAGAAACAGTAAATAAAAAGAGAACAAAAGCCAGCGCGATGTAGGAAATCGCACAAAATAGAAGAGATTCGTCATAAGAAAATGTTCGTCACGTCATGGTCGTTAAGGCCGGCCTCAATGAGAGGGGAGCCGTTTCGTTTCGTCACTTTGCTGAAACTGGATAAAAAGGACTTTAAACCCCGTTGTGGGGTGGCTGCTCGAATCCGCGCCGGGGATGAGTAAAGCCATTGTGCAAAAACCGGAGATATGCATGCCTCGACGAGTGCGATGGGGGACGAGGAATTTTGAGTCTCCCAAGGCAGGAGGTCAGGCGAAAGTGGCGAAAAGACGGGTGCTAAGCTGGAAAATAATAATCATAATTGTCCGTGTCTGCGGCTTGTTGGGTTTGGCCGCAGATCTATTTCAACAGAAACAAAACTCCGAGGGTTGAGGGAAGAGGCGTGACATGGGATCAAAGTATTCACCGGCGGCGGCTCATCACACCGCCGGTTTTCATGGGCTGGAGGAGAGGAGCACCTCCGATGGGACCTCCGAGAGTGGCGTCAGTGATGGTCTTGCGGCGCTTGCTTTCGTATTCGCCGGCGCTCTCAGGGCGGATGACGTCGTCGTCTTCACGCATGCGCTTGCTGCCTGAGCCGAGGGATCCGTTGACGGTGGTCGAGTACACAGGGGTCGACGTGGAGGCCATGGAGTAAGGATCCGATGTTCCGTTGGCGGGAGTACCACGAGTGTCACTAACTGCGTTGTACAGAGTCGTGGCCGCGGGAGGGCGAGGAGGAGTGTTGTATCCAGAAGCCCAGTGAGGAGGCGGGCCACCGCTTGTGCGAGGCGTCATGCGGCCCGAGCCGTTTTGCTGCGGGGATCCGGTCATCTCAGGAGTCAATTGCGAGTGCTCGCCGGCAAGAGATCCAACTGACGGGTTGGTCGTGTAAGTGTACGAGTTGCGGTTGGCGCCGTACGCGGATCCCTGGTCCTGCAGATATTCAGGTTCCTGTTCTTGGACAGCCTCGTTGGCACCATTGCCCTGGGAATAACGATCAGACTTCAACTCTGGAGTGTCGGCCTCGGAGCCAGGAGCACGGCCAGTGGGAGGGGCCATCTCGTTCTTCATATAGCCGACCGCGGGAAGAGGTTGGCCATAGCTGGACATGCCCGACTGAGTCATTGGCGTGTGCGGAGCATACTGAGAGTGGGAATGAGGCGCAGCCGAGTAGTACGGCTTGGAGTTGTCATATCCGGTATGGCCCTGGTACGGCGGCATTCCCTGCATGTTATTGCCGGGGGGAGTAGTGGCTGGAGTTGTCGGCATCGAGCGCTGGTTACTCAATGCAGTGTCAATCGACAACGGCTGTGTATGAGGGACTCCCGAGTTCATGCCCTGGCCGCCCCATTCGTAGGAGCTTCCCTGGTTGGTCACACCCATCAGGCTGGATGCACTCGCGGGGGGAGTAGGGAAGGTGTTGGCTCGATCAATCCCCGGACGCGGTCCCATAGAGGAAGGCTGGGACATGTGCGAGGACATGGGGGTCTGCATGGCGTGGTGATGCAGTGCCGAAGACTGAGGAGCAGTCGGAGTACGATGAGGGCCCGCCGGAGGACCTTCCATGCGGCGCTGCTGCGATTCCTGCACGACCAAGTTGGTCCGATTTTGGTTGGCTGGGTGGTACAGCAGGCCACCGATGTTGTGCACAAAGAGCGGATACAAGAGATCAGTGATTTTCTCCTTGTTGGCAAATTCCAAAGCGCGCTCAAAAGGAATCCAAACACCCTTCAGGTGCATGGGGCCAATCTTGACCACGTGGCGAAGCTTCTCGCTCTTGAGAATGCCATCGCGGCGGCCGCGAGTCATTCCTGCAACATTGAGCAATTTCGTCCCGTTGATCATGTGATTATCTGTCAATCAGTTAGTTTGCATCGTATGAAACTTGTCCATTCACTGCTAACCTTCTCTGCGAGCCACACAAACACCCTTCGCCTCGACCTGGTAGCAGAGACTGCCCTCGTCCTCCCAAAGGGTTGCTGTGACGCGAGGCTTAGCTCCCGGAGGAGCGACCTGGCCGGTGGGATCATAAATATAGCCTTGCAATGGGGCACCAGTGTTGTTTCCGTAACCTGCAGGAGCAACAGGGTGGTTGGAGACTGCACAATGGTTAGCAAAATTGATCTCCACTCAATCGATCTTTGCGAACTAACCTGGAATTGGTAGCAACTGCGGATTCATCTGACCTCCCATGGAGCTTGCCGGCGGTGGGTGACCGGTCGGCGGTGAAGTGATACCGCTGGGATATCCGTACTGCGAGTAGGCAGGACCATATGAAGAAGCCGGCTGCAGCACCGGAGGTTGCTGATGGTAGGGATAATGCGACATGGCGCCGGCGGTCGCACCTTGCGAAGCGTATGATTGAGCGGACGACAAATGGGAATGTACATCCATGTACGGATGAGTCTGATTCATGCTCCCGAGCGAAGTCGGACTGGGGTAATAACCCTGGTGGCCGATGTTATAGTCTGAATCCAGGCCTTGGTTTGCCAGATCCGAAGGCGGTGGGCTCCTGGGTTCCTGGACCGCAGAGACACCCGACAGACTGCTGCGGTCACTGGATGTGGCCGAGCTTCCAGACACGTCCTGGTAGAGAGAACGGGACGGCGCCTGGGTGGCAGTGGGCAGGCTGAGCGCGGGAAGCTTGTCGCCCGACAGTAGCGGACGTTCGGCCGCGTGGTGACTGTACCAGGGGATGTCAGCAGGACCGCGGGTGTGGACCTGCGAGATCGACGGCAGCTCCAGCTTTTCGGTTTCACGGGAGAAGAGGGAAGAGAGTAGGAAGAGAAGAGAGGCTGTCGGACCTGAAGACAGGAATCCGGCAAGCCGTTTGAAGACTTTGTGCTTTTTTGTTGAAAGGGTGAAAGGTTGCACTGCGTCTGAGTAGAGCAGAGGGGAAGAAGAACAGTAGGATCAAGCAAGTAGGCAGTGAGGTAGGTAGCAGGTAGCAGGTAGCAGGTAGCAGATAGCAGGGAAAAGACAAGAACAAGATCAGAGCGGAGTCATCAATGTCATGAAATCGTAGACAAACGAATGCAGGTCAAATAAGGCCGCAGTTATAGAAAAAAAAAGTATCAGAGGCTGGCGTGCAGCAAACGCATCCCTCTGCAGGTGAAGAAGGGGGAACACATAAACGCTGAGCCGCAGGACGAACGGGAAGATCAGTGGGCTGGATGACTAAGGGTAGAATGTGGGGGGGGGTCAAGAAGGCTGGAAAAAGGCTGGTTCTAAAAAAGAGTAGAATGCAGAAATCCCGGCAGCCTTTTGAGGTTTCTCCTCAACAGAAATAGTATCGAATCATGCCCAGTGGGGAATTGGGGGGGATGGGAAAAAAAAGACACTATGGGGGGGGGGATCGAGTCTGCCGCCACCAAGCAAGGACTGACTTACCCAAATGGAAGAAAGAGAAATCGAAAAATCGAAAATAGAAAATCGAAAGAGAAATGAAAAACCGAAAAGAAAACCAAAAACGAAAAAGAAAAAAAATGCAGGGACGAGAAGAGAGAGGGGAAGGGAAGGGGACTCCACCGAGCTGAGGATCCTGGTCTGTGTGACAAGCAAAACGCTGATCGGCCGGGATAGGCCTGAGGATCTGGTGGAGGCCGAGATTATGCCCACGCACTTGTCTACCTACTGTAGGATTCTATGCTATGGACTAATGGACTAATGGACCATCCACTATCCACTATCGACTATATTCCCTATACTCTAGGATCCCTATGGTCGACTCCACTCCGAACCAGGGATGACCTCCCGGCCAACCAACACAATGAGGTTGGAGTCGAGACTTCGATCGACGGGGCCCCGTGCAAGACATAGCGCCTGCAGAGAACTAACCGCTGCACGGTCGATTACGAGGCGGAGGTTTCAAGAGCTCCCTAGTGCTCTTAGTGCTCTTGGTGCTCCCCTTAGTGCTCTTAGTGCTCTAGATTCTGGTAGCTCTTCCAGTGTTTACCCGATGTCGGTGCTCTAGCCCCCATTATCCTCATGACTCGTGATTTCCATTATTCATTATCCTCGCTATGACGGAATAGTCCCGGATCGATCACGCCCTGTCTAATCCATAGTCAAGCGGCCCGTCGATCGCAAGGCCACGGCTATAGCCGCTCAGTAATGCCACAACCGACTCTCCCGGAGTACCAGACTCGCGAGGTCCGTGAGTACAAGCGCGTCACACCCAAGGGATGCTAGCAGTGCTGAGGGGGGAAATTAGTGGCCCAGAGTGCACCACGAAACACGGGTGGCTTGAGTCGATCAAGGGCCTGTTCTCTCGGGATCCCTGCCAGTCCCACGACCGAAAGGGTCGGTTGAGGACCGCCCGAATTCAAATACCTCCAGGCCCCGTGATGTGTGATAGCGGCACGGCGTGAGGTAAGTCCATGACGTTAGTTCCAGACCCTTAGCCTGACCTCCGGAGTATCGTAGTCTCGCCTCTCTCTCTCTCTCTCTCTCTCTCTCTCTCTCTCTCTCTCTCTCGATTAGTATCAACTATGAAGACATCCGAACATTTGACATAGGTGCGACTTTGCCGCCACACTATCATTTCGATCCTACCACTCGTGGTCTACTGTTCATGGATGGCTTCGGTCAGAACTTGGCTCCTTTATTCGGCTGCATTTTAGTGCTGATCGTGAGGAGTCATTGTAGCAGGATGAAATCGACGTTTGTATGCCCAGGTGGTGCCAAAGCTAGAGATCTTTTGGAATGTCGATGTTATCATCCTCCACCTACTCCGCCCAGATATATACATTGCTCACCCCGCACTCGAATCGATCAACAAACTCAACCCCACAACCATGCAACCATGCGACCAACACTTAACCAGAATCGTACTCCTATGTATGAAGGCAGAGATACCTTCCAACCCATCCAGATGTCGAACATGGGAACAATCAACCCAAGCAACAATGGCACATACCAGCCCCACGTGATAGCAACGACCCTATCCCAAACCAGCAAAACCAAAACACCTCAACCACGGTTCACAGCATCCACTCCCAACGTCACTCCAACTTCCAAGATCGCAAAAAAACCACACCTCACCCCTTCGCCCTCCTCCTCCATAACAAATCCCAGCTACGCACAATGCCCGACCCGCCGAAATTTCTCAACCGCCCGTGGCCACCATCCCCAAAGAACCACAAAATCTTCGACTCTTGGAACTCTTCTTCTACCGGGCACCAGCGCGCAGATGGAAAAGAGCAAACCACCACATGGAGAGATACCCGCACCAACAAACTAGAGCGACAGTTCAAAAGCGGACATTGCGATGACTCGAGCGGGCCTTCAATGGCCTTTGATGGGACGTGTGGATCATCGCCAGAGGAACAGAAAGGGGGAGAATGGAGGTGGGCTGATGAAGATGAGGCGAAGCGTGCAGAATTAGGTGTTATGGATATTCGAAGTTTTATGGGAGTTAGCAAGCGCAAAGCACCTGCGCCTAAGATTGAGATCGAGGGAAAGAAGCGGAGAGTCGATACCAGAGATGCCTTTGCGCAAGTACCTGTGCCTGTGCCTGTGCCTGTTTCTTCTACATCTTCTATCTCGATTTATACTTCCAACTCGCCTACCGATAGGTCATCTAAGCCTGCTACCTCTGCATATACATCTACATCTACATCTACATCTACTTTTACATCTACTTCTACATCTACTTCTACATCTACTTCGACCTCAGTTTCAACCACTGACCCCACACGCCTCCAATCCAGAATCCTCACTGGAACAACAATCTACATAAACGGCTCAACAATGCCTCAAATCTCAGACCACAAGCTCAAACACCTCCTCGCTTCCCATGGCGCCCGAATCTCCACATTCATGGCGCGCAAGACCGTTTCCCATATTATAATCGGACAACCGGGTTCTACGTCCGCCGGTGCAGGCGGAGGCCTATCAGCGAGGAAATTGCAACAGGAGATTGAAAGGGGTGGGTGGAAGGGTATTAAAGTGGTTGGTGTTGATTGGTATGCTTTTCTATTCGCCGATATAATTCCTATGCTAACGGGTTCGATGGCAGGGCTCTGGAGAGTATCAAAGCGGGTAAACGGCTTGCTGAGTCGAGGTTTGCTATCTTGAAGATTGCGCCGGAAGGGCAGAGGAGTGTTCTGGGTATGTTTGCGAAGTAGATAACTTTGTGGTTATGTTGGTCTACTATATACTTTCTTTTTCTGTTTTATGAGGTGGTGCATGGCATTAGCATTGGTTTTTGGTTTTTCTGCATAGTACATAGGTTACACTGGCGTTATGCTGGGTTAGTCGTAGGACTTGGCTAGCTTGGCGATTTGATAAACCCCCCTTGTTCTTATATTAAGATGTTGGAATATATCAGACTTGAAGTTCTTTGCTTGATTGTTTCGTTGCTCATTACCGTCATCTATCATGACACAGGTTCCTTATATATACAGTTCAAAAGTTCAAGGCCAGCTGCCAATAGATATACAACGAAGTGATCCCAACGCCGGTAAATGCAGTGCAGTTATGTGACAAAAATTGTCCGCTTCGAATGGAGACATGGAGACATGGTTCAGTTGAAAGTTTCTCTTTCAGACGAATGCTCCGCCGTTCCCGGATCTACGATCCGGGTGCTCGCCGTCGGTATTGGCATGATCGGAAATATGCCGCCTCCAACCGCTCTGTCGACGGACGGGATAGGTGGGCGGGGACTGGGCATGGTGGTCATCGTCTCGGGCTTCGGTGGATGTTACCGAGGTCACACCCATGTCGGATGAAGCTGCTGAGGCGGATCTCATGCCTAGTTCACCGCTGAATGCTCTCTCGTCTGGGAGAGGAGGGAGGGGGTTGGGGTGCCGGTGGGTAGAAAAGGAGGATGAGGAGGGTGGCGGGGCGCGGGCGTGGGCTTGAGAGGAGTTGCTCCTGGTGCGGTTGTGGTTGCCAACAGGTTGCCAATCACGCTCATCAACGTGCTCTGGCGAGGCGGCAGATTGGCGGCTAGGTGGGAGGTAGTACGGATTTGAGACGTTGCCGTGGGAGTATAACGCATGATGGTCCTCGTATGCTGGGAAAGCAGATGTGGACATGCTTGAAACGGAGTCTGCCTTCGGACGACTAGGGTGCATGGGCTGCACTTCGTCAAGGCCGGACTCGCTGCTCGACCAGCGTTCCAGCTTCTCACCGAAAGTCTCTTCCGGCTGAGAAGCGCGCGAGTCACCCTTTACCAGACCGAGTCGCTCTTCTTCAGTTGCAGACTTGCGCAGATCACCGCCTGAGAGATGCGAGCGGCGGAGGATACCCCGAGGCGGACTGGCAGGAGGCTTGGGGGAGTTCTGACTGCCATTCCTGATTCGGTTGAACATGGTGTTAAAGGAGAATTGGCGTTGTGCAGCATGAACCGGAGACTCAGAGCCATGATCATCGGCTCTTTCGTCAGCCCAATGAATAGACCGGGGAGTATCACTGCGCTCTCGGCCAGTGGGACGGAAGGGAGCTCCCAGATCTCCGTCAGCAGCGCCATGGTACCCAGTGTCGACTACACCACCTGTCATTTCAGTCATGGTCACAGGGGTATTGTTCGCATTAAGGTATTTTTCGTCATTTTCGTTCAAAGAGCGCCACTGAGGGTGAAGCACACTTCCTGTCCGCGAGCGGAGGTCGCTGAGGAAAGAGCGTCCACTTTGATTGGTCTTAGGTCGCTGTTCCTCCTCATCTTCATTATCGGGGAAGCGGGACATGCCCAATGGTGGCAGTTGTTGCTTGAACGATGGCGAGCGCGGAGTGACCGATCGAGACATGGTAGGTCCCTCGCCAATGACGGTCTTCCTTCTGCGAATGCCATCCCATTCGATAATCTCATTATCACCAGGTGGCTTGAGGAAGTCTTGATTCTTTTCATGAACAAAGCGACGGGCCTCATCAGCCTCTGCGTCCCGACGAGTAGTCGAGATACGTCGGAGAATGGATGCAGCACCTCGAATGGAGTCTGCCTTGGGCTCATACTCAGGTTCTTCTTGCGCAGCAACCTCTCGGATCTGATCAAGATCACCCTTGAATACCGCGGCATCGGGAACATCCTTGGCAGATTTGGACAACTGCAAGAGAACGACACCGGAGCAAATCTGCAGGAAACCCATGATGACCGTAGTTATCTCAATCGCGGTACCTTTGAAACCCCGGAACAACACAGCCGAAGCAACGATGGTGGAGCTAGTAAACATGACATAGTAAGTCGGAGTGACGAGCGCAGCATTGAAGAGATTCAACGCTTTCTGCAAAATCGTTAGCTCAGCTCAAACAAACATCGAACCAAAGGACAACTCACATTGAGATAGATAATCTCCGTCAGCAGTGTGCAAACCACAAACACAAACAGAACATAAAGGAACCAGTGTTTAAACTGCTCCTCGCCGTTAATCTGAGCCAGAATAGCCGACCCAAGACCCTGTGTCGCAACCACACTCAACCCACCAACCAAGCTGCAAATGCCGATATAAACAAACATGCTCTTCTTGCCGTATTTCGGTGCAACCCAGATTGCGGTAATAGCTGACCCAACCAGAATAACACCCCCATATGATAAAAAGCCAGGGCTGATCACAAATTTCTGCATCTCCTGGATATCACTGACAGATGACTGCGTCGGCGCATTCATGGCAATCACCACCGACCCGATAATACAGCAGAAACACCCCACTTTCCCAACGAAACTGAGTCGTTCTTTAAGGAATATCGCAGATAGGATGGTCGTGATCACCACCGATAATGCGCCGAGGGGAGTAACAAGGATGGCGTCGACGAAGGCATATGCGACAAAGTTGCAGATCTCACCGAGGATCATGAGCGTCATTCCCGTCCACCACCAGACATTTTTCAAATAGCCGTATCCTTCACCTGCTTCTTCGTTATATTTGACGTTTGCCTTCAGCAGGCCATGTTTCTTCAACACGAAGGAAACGCCGATGAATATGCCTGATGCAACGGCGAGTGCGATACCGACGGCTTTGTAGATCGGTGGGCGGCCGGTGGAGTCGCGCGCGACGAGGCTCGAGGTGTGTAGGGAATCCATTTTGAAGTGTTGACGAGGGGATCAAGACCACTGGCCAGCAGTGGGAGGACGTCACAAGGACGGAGGCGTCCGAAGACGTCGGCGACTACTGAGACACTTTTTCAGGCCAGTTTGCGGGCGCGAATGTGCTGACGTGTGTTTCGGCCCAAACCACAGATCCAAGTCGAGGATATGTATCAAGGTGTATATGCAATGCAAGGTCAAGGTGTGATAATGCGTAGGAGATCTGGAATGCTTCTGGAAATTCCACGGAGATTTGGGGAGGCGAAAAGATCAGCGCCGGAGACGTCAGTGGTAGCTTGCTAGGCAACCGCACGATAAATTCCGGGGAAAGTGGAAGTGAATATGTTCAAACGCAGGAATCAAATATTTAGGAAAGAAAGGAAAAAGAAGAAAGCAGAGCGTTCAGGAGATAAACCGAAGAATAGGGGGTTTGAAACAAAGAGGCTGGGCTTGTGGGGAAAACGTAGATACGGTTGCACGGTGGGTCGCACTGCTTGTTCCTGACACTGGTGACATTGGGGGTCTTGTTCTATTTCAGGTCCTCCACTACATTACGCTACACTACACTATATATTCTAGATATAGCCCAGTTAATTCATGAGATGTTCAGGTCTATGGCATTCTCCGCGTCATTACTATACACCACAATCCCACCCCCTGAGGTCATAAAAATCGTCACATCATTTCCCATCAGGGATGATCGTCCCCTCTGCCATCCTAGAATAGGAAAGTAAAAATAAGAATAAAGAGCACCATGACACCGTGTTCCCCGTTCTTCGATCCGCATAGTTCACCATCTCGAGTGAAGGGTATCCAGTAGAGAAACACAAAACGACAACGAAAAGAGAAGAAAAAAAAAAAAAAAAACAGCAGATAAGATTACCTCACGTGGTAGCTCGGTTTCCGTTGCCGATTCACGGTCGGCGGGGGCTCATCCACAGGGTACGGTGGTCGGACCTTGCCACTGGAGGGTCCTGGTGGCTGGGTAAATAGTGGCGCCGGCATAGATACGCTTGGAGGGTCTTCCTGGGCGGGGTACGGGATCGGGGTCTTGGGAGGGATGGGTGGAGGCATGCCGTTGTAAGTCATGACCTGATCTCCACTATGCCGGGGAGAAATATGTTGCTGCGAAGATGGTCGCGAATACTCATGGCTGGGACGGAATCCGCTGACCTCGCCGCTAGAGTGTCTTGTAGGCGACACAGGGAGACTGTCCTGGGGTGTGGGATGCGTCGGCAGTGAATCTTCTCCGGGCGGCGCAGTCACAGTCACGCCGGGTGACATTGGCGCAGGCTGGGAATACTCCATAGGCTCGGCGGGGAGTTCGGCGGGGAGTTCGACTGCGCCGGGGTGGGAAGTAGGAGGGACATGATATTCCGATGTCATTTGAGCGACATTGAGCTCTTCCCGCTCAAGATCGAAGGACATATCGTCCCGATCACCACCAGCGGCCGCGTGAGCAGCCAGGCGCTTGTTCATGCGTTCGATCTTGGCAGACTTGACACCCGCATCCAAAATCATCTTCTTCACCTCGGGCTTGGATAGATAGCGTCGCGTGTTGGTACTGATGTCCGCCAACCGATTCCATTCGTTCATGCCGAACTCGCCCACTCCAACTTCGACGTTGAGACGGTAGTAATTGTCGATGGGGACATTGCGCTTGGCGAGGTTATCTATCAACATGTGCTGGTGAATGTCTTCACAGCCCTCGATTTTCGTAATGAGACGTCGTCGCGCCTCGGCAAATGTGCCCCCCGCACCACCAAAGAAATCCTCCCACCACTCGTGAGAGCGGTTGTTCGTTCCCGAAGGTCGACGACCAGTTCCAATAGAAACAAACACGCCAACCTCACGACCAGGCCACTCATTGACAACAGCTTCGTCAAGAACCTGCGGCGACGGGTTATACGTTCCCGGGCCTTCGTCAATGAAATTGCTCTGTCCGATCCGAATCGGCTTGAATGCAAGTCCGGTAGCCGAGGTGGCTCGACCAGCCTGCCAGATAGTACAGTCGAATTCCGGCGGAGGTTCGCGGCGAGAGTCGTAGGATCGCAATAGCACGGCCGGTCCGTTCTTTGGTGTGCCCTTGTAGAGCGCAGTGACAGCACTAGTCGCGTGTTAGTTAGCATTGCATGTGAAATTTCGCGCGGTAGAACTTACGTCTTCGTCCGATTCTCTCGGTTATCATATAGCAGCGCATCAGGGTTTCCCCAGCGCAAGCCGTTAAGAAAAGTGGAGCCTCTTTGGCTTGCGGGGGATTGAGGATGTGACGCGGCCGAAGTGCTGAAGCTTCCCCGGCTCAATGAGCGCTGGGGTACCGAATTAGGACTGTAGGGAAGACTTGCAATGGATGACCGAGGGTCGCCGGACGGCTGGTCATTCCCTTCCCCTTCGAAAACCGTGTGTTCGCGCACACATTCCCGAATTGCCTCTTCCAGCTTGGAAGCCTTGAACAGGGTTGATCGATAAGGAATACCAGCAATGGTCTTGTCGGTTTCGAACACTTTGCGGGTCATGCGCACGTAGACTTCTTTGCAGGTTTCAAGGTCGAGTCGGAGACGTCCCAGCATCAGAGCGATCAGGCCGCCCGTGCCGGTACCTGCGATCAGGTCGAAATGGTCGCATGGTTTGGGGATCTGGTCGCGACGCGGTGGCTTTCCTTCGCATTCGACGTATGTGCGGTACATGAGTTCCTGAAGAATGATGAGCATGGAGTAGCCGCGAACACCGCCTCCATCTGTGTTGGTTAGCTGTAGTTCTGTACAAGGTGAGCCGGTGCTTACCGAGAGACAGGATCCGTAATGGGGGACCCTTAGTGGTGTCCTTGCGGCGCAGATTGGCTTCGTCCATGTTGACAGCCGCTGTTGGTGATAGAGCGATTGAAACGCTCTTTTTTTCTTTATCCGCAGCGCTCCCGCCGCGGGGCTCGACGCCTTATCGAAGTCGCAGGACTGGCGCCTGACCGAGATCAGAGGGTAAAAGGTGAGAAGCGTGACACGGGTGCAACCACGAGCGAACAACTTGCAGCGCGAGTCCAAGAGTGTGACAAGGGCCGAGGTGAGGGCTGATGATTCCAGGCAGCGGCGTAAGAGGGGTATCCGGATTGAGGGTTGCAAAACCTTGGCTGTTCAAGCCACGAAGAATTGAGGTGAGATGCAGAGTCTCCGGAGCTAATCGAAAGACAGGAACACAACAGAAGCACAAAGTTATTCTTAGAAAATGAATCCACTCGCTGTCGCTTTTCCATGGATTCGGAGAAAGTCAGGTGACGTGGCGGTGCATTCTGTTCTGATGTCACTGATGTCACTGTGGCGGTGTCACCGTACAATCACGAAAGCGAGTACGACAATAGGGCTGAAGGTGGGTTCTGTCCCTGCAGCTTCCAAGCCGGTGCTTCCGGTGACTCCATGATCATTCTCTGAAGTCATTGGATTCATTTGAGTTTATCCGAGGTTGGGCACGATCGTATTGGGCTTAACATCGGTTGCCTAAACGAGCTTACAGTACAGTACAGTGTCAGCTAGCTAGCTATTATTGGCAAAGTATAAATCTGTGTTCCAGTGGAGCATGATTTCTCATCCAAGGTTCTAGTGTGATTTCCCCGACCACTTAAGGCCGCCTATTCAGGCGCGTCTACATTCTCTCGGACTGTAGTGGGAGTATATACTTGGATCTTAATTGGTAAGACCAGGCCAATCTAGCAACCCGTTAGCATCCCAAGGTCATCAACTACCTTGGGCCCTTCCAAGTAGAAGAAAGTGAAAAAGAAAAGAAAGAAAGAAAGACCGGTAAACTCACCAGTAACTGTATGCTCCTTCGCACGCTTAACAACCACCACCTCATCCCCAACTCGAATCCTCTCTCCACTTCCCCGATCAAGAAACGAATACCGTCCAAAAACGGGACTAAACCTAGCCCCCCGATCCACCCTCCTATCCTTCATCAACTTCTTCAACACACTCCCCGATTCCCCAGTTCCTATCTTCCCAGTCCCATAATCCACGTTCAAACTCTGACACCGAACACAATTCCCCGTCAACAATAACCTCGCCTTCCCCCCAACAGCCAACTCCGTCCAATAATCCTCCTCAAAGGCACTCTCAGCCCCCGAAACCACAATATTCGGCCGGAACTTTGTTCGATCCATTTCCTCGCTTTCGGGTAGCCGCCCTGAGACATTGTTCACTGATGTCTCGGAGATAATTAGGAACGGTGCACAATCGGCGAAGCCGATTCTATCTTCCCGCCGACGAAGTGTCATCCAGTGTAAACCGGATAAGGTAACCACCGCGACGAAAGTATTGAGGTATGTTTTCATATTCAGTGCGGGTGTCACGCCCTGGAAAATGTCATACCCCTTCCAGAGCATACTCCCGATAACACAAACAGCCAAAAGACCAATTAAAAAATCCTCTTTTCCGCGCGGATCGCTGATTTCACGCCACCATGTCTCCCAGATGGGTTCTTTATTCCGCTTCCGTGGCGCTAGCGTTCCTAGGATTCCTCGAGTGTTGGCCCCCAGGTAGGCTAGGATAACGGGATATCCGAAACATGCACTGAACCACTCGTTATACTCGGATCCCATGTCGTACCCCGTTGTCGGGCTTTGGTGCATCGTGACGGTGAACTTCTGCATGGTCTTCACTTGCTGGCTATTCATGTGGAGCGGAATTTCGAGTTTTCGCATTTCGTGTTTCGGATCATCTGCGGGGTTGTAGGTCACTGTGATTTTCCCGGTATCTGCGTCGTTTTGCGGGAGTTTGATGGCGGTTTGAAAAAGGGACATCTCCGGGTAGTGGGGGACGTGCATGTTCTTCAATGTGGTTCCGTCTTCGGTCGGTTCGACTTTGAGTAACATGAAGCGTCGGTCCCATTCTAGGCCTAGGGAGGTGAGTGTGCCCTCTGGGACGGTGGTGCCTCGGAGGGACTTGATGGGGTACACGTAGAGCTGGTTAACTTAGTACATGTAGCACCAGCGTCGCGATCGAGCGGGTTTTACCTGGCTGACTTTCATTGTCGCGGTCCTACAATAACTGGGTAGTTTAGGTAAGAGACATTGGATAATGAGTGAGAAGAGCAGGCTTGCGGGGTTATAGAAGGATCAACTCTTTGTTGGGGCGATGCGCTTATCGAGGAGTCGGTTATCGGTTATCAATTCTACGTCAGTGATTGGGGTTTGGCTTGTGCATGGTTTTACCCAAATAGGGCAATGATTTGAGAAAGAAATTAAATGTGTATAGTCTTATCATATTTCGTGTTGAACCATGCTGGGAAATGTACATGACGTTGAAAGAGCCCCAAATATAAGGAAATGGTTGAAAAAGGAAAACAAAAGAAGAAGAAAAAAAGGAAATGTCTACTGGTCCTTAGCCCAAGGCAGGCTAAAGGTGCCCACCCAGTCCTCCACCTCCTGTCGGAGCATCACGATTTCTGAGATCTCCTCGCCCTCACCCAGGTATTCATTGAACGCCTTCACGGTGCCTGGGTTCTTGGCGCCCTTGGCCTGCGCTTGCTCCCGCGCAGCCTTGTCCAGCTTCTGGGTCAGGGTGACGGCGCGGTCGACGATGTCAGCCACACGGCGGAAGTCCTCGGGCTGGAAGCCGCGAGACGTCATGGCCGGGGTACCGAGACGAAGACCACCGGGCTTGAGGGCAGACTTGTCACCGGGAACAGTGTTCTTGTTGCTGGCGACACCGCACAGCTCCAGCACGCGCTCAACGCGGGCTCCGTCAACGCCGCGGTTCTTCAGGTCAACCAGCACCAGGTGGTTGTCGGTACCGCCAGAGACGACGTTGTAGCCGAGACCACCGTTGCTAGTGGACTCACCCAATCGCTCAGCCAGAGCCGTGGCGTTCTGCAGAACGGTCTTCTGGTACTCCAGGAAGGAGGGGGACTGAGCCTGCTTCAATGCCACGGCCAGCGCGGTGATGGTGTGGTTGTGGGGGCCACCCTGGTGGCCGGGGAAGACAGAGGCGTTGATGGGGTTCTCGAGATCGTACATCTCCTTGTTACCCTTCTTATCTGTACGGCGGATGCCTTTGCGGTAGAAGATCATGGCACCACGGGGACCGCGCAGGGACTTGTGAGTGGTGGTGGTTACAATGTCGGAGTAAGGGAAGGGAGAAGGAAGGACGTCAGCAGCCACGAGACCTGAGATGTGGGCCATATCGGCCAAGAGATAGGCGCCGACGGAGTCGGCAATGGCGCGCATACGAGGGTAGTCAATCAGACGGCTGTAGGCAGAGGTACCGGCCACAATCAGCTTGGGGCGGTACAGCTGAGCCTGCTTCTCCAGAGCATCATAGTCGATCAGACCAGTCGACTCATCCAAGCGGTAAGGCAGGGTCTCGAAGTACTTGGAAATGGCGGAGATCTTCTTGGTAGGGGTCTGGTAACCGTGGGACAGATGACCACCATGGGGCAGATCCAAACCCATCAGGCGGTCGTGGGTGTTGAGAACAGCGGAGTAGGCCATGAGGTTGGCGGGCGAGCCGGAAAGCGCTGCAATGATGGTTAATGCTCTATCGCGTGCGATTATAAGCAGATCGACAACTTACGCTGCACGTTCACACCCCACTCCTCGGGGTTGAGACGGAAGGTCTCCAGAGCGCGCTGCTGGCAGAGACGCTCCGAAGCATCAATGTGTTCATTTCCTCCATAGTAACGAGCACCGGGGTATCCCTCGGAGTACTTGTCTGTATTGTGATTAGCACGTGGCTATCAAGGACTCGGCCGGCGAGGTACGTACTTTGCATCACACTGCCGAGGGCATCGAGGACGGCCTGGGAGGTGAAGTTCTCGGAAGGGATCAGGTTGATGAAGTGCTTCTGGCGGTTTTTCTCCTGGAATTGGGGTCAGCAATTGCTCCGCGCATAGTTCCGACATGACGTACCTTCTCGAGGATGCTGAACACAGCAGGGTCGGAGTCCTCAAGGGAGGAAGAGAGAAGCTGCATCGAATGTTAACATTGCAATTCCGACCATCTGGAAATCCATTGCATGCCACAATACCTTTTGCTGAGCATCCCGGCTGGATGACGCTGTTCCCCGCGCGAGAATGGCTCTGGGGATAATGGGGCGAGCGGAAAGAGCAGCAGCAGGACGAACGCTCCCGAGGGAGAATCGGGCAAGACGCCCACAGCGAGCGAGAGACATGGCGTACAGGAATTCACGACGTACTCACGAGATAGGAAAGCGCCGACGCTTTATATCTGAACACAGCTTGCCAACAGTTCCTCAGGTTCCCCGTTGCCCGCGGAAAGCGGAAAACCACACTATTCCTGATCGGGCTGACCGCCTCCGGCCGGCCCTTTTTCTTCGGCAAATGCTAGCTTCCCCTTTCTTCTTCACACAACTAAATCCAAGATGAAGATAAGGCGTTCTATCTGTGTCAGCACTCGTCGGTGACAGCCTCCGGGCTGGCACTGGACGGGCGCTGCTGAAAGGCCCCGCGCCTACTCACCATCCATTGGGGATCTTGTTACAATCGGATTGGACAAGTTGTGTTCGACTCTTAATGTTGGGTCGCGTGTCGCTCTCCTCCCGGGGGCTCAAACGGGTCCCGCGGTCGGGGGACCATGGATACCAAGGGAAGACCCGCTCCGGACGGGTTGTAAAAGCCAGATTCATTGGATTTCAGATCTAGAGCCGGAGTGAGGAGTGGAGTTGAGTGTTTTAAGGCGGAGGGTTGGACAAGGATAGACTTCGTAGGGTTGTTGCTCTCTCTTATCTCTTGTTATGATGAACTACATCAAATGTGCTCTTCCATCGTCTATCACAGTAGTAAAGCAATTAATTGCGATTTCGCGGCAGATTAAGTTGAAAATTCCCTAGTCACTTAGAGCCTACGGTGCGAACGAAGAAGCAATGCGAAATGGCCGAAGCAAATGTAGCTATAACTTAAGTTACATTTTTGTTTTAAGGACTCAGGAGGTAATATTTCTTTTTTCCGTTGAAACAGGTCGTGTGGCCCAGTGGAAAGGCGTCGCTCTCCTATTTCTGTGGATTTCCGCTGGAATAAAGCGAAGATCCAGGGTTCGATCCCCTGCATGATCGATCTTGTTTGTTTTTTTCTTTTGCTCCTATGTAAGCTCTACAATTTTTTCCTACATTACTTTCTTCTCTCCAATTGAACACAATCTTCGCAAGATTTAGACAATTTGGGGAATGAACACTCCGTGAAATTAGAGATGGTACATGGAGCGAGTATTATGACCGGTACATGCAAAATATGTTCCGACCATGATTTTCGGCCTGTCCCGGTTAAATTATATATAACAAACAGACTTAAGGAATACTCGGTCATTATTCGGCTAAGTAGTGGGATATCGATCTGGCCTAGGCAGAACATCTGAATCAAGCCTCCGAAGCGCCAAGTGAGAGAATACCTTCTCCAATCTAAAGCTGATCTACCACATGCAGAGTGACTCCGCGAACTTAGAGTCGACTGCACGTGCAGCCTCATTATTTGTTTTTCTCTAGTTCCTAACTGAGAACTACCCGTTGAGACAACAACAAAGAATAGACTCAATGTGACGTTATTCTCCCCTCACTGGTAGATCCTGGAAGCTCCTTGCCTAGTGTTTAATGAACTCCACACTGCATTACATCTGCAGCGCTTTGTTTTGATGTTCCAAGTCTTTCAGATCTTTCCTATCCTTAAAAATTATGGATCTAGATCCAATCAGGATACTTGTGGCTAGTGCGAAAAACATCATGGAGGCCCCACTGACGGGAAATGAGCTGGCGTAATACAAACCCTCAGGCACCGGGTTGGTTTCCGAGTTGGGCCTCGCGAAAACCATATCTTCAGGCAAAGATTTTCAACCTTTCGAGCCCGATCATCCCATAGACGAGTTAATTGTTTTGTCTGACGAATTTGACTCGGTGGGCATGTCTGATGCCTATCTCAATTGACGAGGACAAACATGGCCTAGACTAAAGTCGACCGAAAATGCCCAGAACCAGACAACCCTAGCATCTACGCCCCGAACAGGAAATAGATCCTCAGGAGCGGGCCATGCAGGCAAACGGGTGTGCAGCGTTCCAGCCACGACCTTGGCTTCTCTATGGACACGGACATAGGGGAGTGTGCCGTGCATCGGCAGAGACCAGCCCGGTATAATTGCCAGGTGAACCAATTTCCGGGCAAGTGCCACGGCCGCCCCTTTTTCGCCCTAGCGTACGGGTACCTGAGTCTGACCATGGTCTTCCCCCCTATAAACACTCGTCTCGCCCCCGTTCCCATTTCTCTTCCCCATCCACATTCTTTTGATCATCCCGGTACCTCGTGTCCGATTACATTCTTTAACGTCAAAAGCCACTCTTTCGACCTGTCTTATCCAAGGAACATTCCTCGAACCTTTTAACACCTTCAATATGCGTTTCTCCATCGCTGTTCTCGCCCTGGCTGCCGGTGCCTTGGCCGCCGACGTCACTGAGACTGTCACCCAGTACACCACCTTCTGCCCCGAGGCCACCACCATCGCCCACGGCGGCCACACCTACAGCATCTCGACCCCCGGTCACATCACCATGACCAACGGTCCCTACACTGTGACCCGTCCTCTGATCACCCAGACCGTGACTCAGTGCAACTCCTGGTATGTCAATGTCAATTCGGGATAGGCAATCAATCTATATGTAACCAGTACTGACCTCCTCAGCTCTTCCACCATGGTGCCCTCCTCCACCCCCATTGTCCCCAGCGCCCCCGCTTCCACTCCTCTGATCCCCAGCGGTGCTGGTGCCACCGGCTCCTCCGTTCCCTCCGGTGCTGCTGCTGTTACCGCCTCCGGCTCCCCCGCTGCCTCCTCCCAGCCCGCCTTCAACGCCGGTGCCGTGAACGCCGCTACTGGCGCTGGTGCCGGTCTGGCTGCCGTCTTCGGTGCCGTCGCTCTCCTCCTGTAAGCGCCAGCTTTCAGCTAGTTTGCGATTGGGATCGTTCGGTTCTCGGCGTGAGCGCTGTCAAGTCGCTGCGCGGAGTCGGTTCCCATCTGCTGTATGGTCCCGACCTCGCTCGGTGATATGATGCGTGACTTACGTTGGCCAGGCGTTGGATGGCCTTGGAGCTCTGGGTTTAATTTCTGGGTGTACATGTCTTACATGTCTTGTCTATGTCTTTATTAGATAATACATAATGTACCCTTCCCTGGTCTCCTTGGGGTTGGGTCTTCTTATGTTCTGCTTCTTGTCTGTTCAATTCTGCGATATCTTCCTGGACATAACGTTTCTTTGCTTCATTAAACGACTTTTATTCGATCTGATCTGTGTTTGGACTTGCGTAGTTAATATGAAGAGAGAGTAAAAAAAGAGTCCTTCAAATAATTACAAGTTCCTTCCCTTTGTTCTTTCTTGTCTTGGCACTCAAGTGTACTCCAACTTCGACCTCCACGGCAAGTAGAGTACACTATCCACCCTATCGACTTCCAAATAGCCTGAGTGTCTTAACGGGCGTAGACTTAATATATTGGTAATGTCGATTATTGAATCAAGAAGCTTTGCAATTTCTTTCGCCTGCTTTATATGATCGTTAGCCTCCCCGAAGGCAACACGATAAGTCGATTATTCTTAACATTCTCTTCCTGTGGGAGAAGCGTCGGTCCGAAAGTCATTCAATTGTCATCGCAGACTCAATAGACGTCTGTTTAAAAAAAGGAAGGTAGCTAGAGTGAATCTGAAGCTACTTAGGCCTATCGATTCACTCTCTAGGTGTTAGTATGGAACTCCAGAAAGCTATGACTATCGATCCCGTCCGTTAGAGGTTAAGTGACATAGAAGCAACAATAATGGGCAATGGCGACGAGAATGTTTGGGCAAGCGAAGCATTAGGAAACGAAAGATCTGTATCGAAGAAGATGGTGAAGAAGAAAGAGAAAAGAACCAGAGTTAATTGAAGAAAGGCATCCAAAAAAGACATCTAGGGCCCAACGGCATTCAATGTCACCATGGTACTTATCATTTTTCACCATCTCACGATCCCAGTACTGTTTACGAGGATTAAAAAGGGCTATATCTAGGCAGGCAACATACTTGCGGAAAAGAGACTATAAGAAAGACGCCCAGACAGATATCTTCGGCCCAGCCGCAACATATCAAAGAACTTTCTCGGCTGCAGAGTTTGTAACCTGATGCAGGGAGCGGAGTGAGCCCATTCAAAGACGGTAAAAAGTGTCTGGCTTTGCATCCAGGAAAATTTATCTTACTCGTTACTTACCTATCATCATCGTAATATCCAAGCAATCTAAGCACCGCCTATTAACTACCCTCTCCCAATCTAAGCCTTAAGGATTCTAAGACCCTACCATCTCTCAAGCACAAGATATTCAAAAAAGAACCTAAAGCTTCGCCTTCCCAACCCCCTCTCTCGAAATACTCCCTAATCCTCCCCCTCGCAACCTCAACAACATCCGCATCCTCGACAGTAGGCGGCACACTGACCACCTCATCATATCTCCCCTGCACCGCATTCTCAACAAGCTGTCTCAAAACCCGTCTAAGCGTCTTCCCACTCCGCGTCTTAGGGATCATCCCCCGTCCCTGAATCATCCCGCCCAATGAAGCGATGGCGCCTATCTGCTCGCGCACGAGGGCGTTGACTTCGCTGAATAGCTCTGTTGATGGTGTCGCAGGTATTTGTATCGAGTCTCCATGGCGAGGCTGGATAAATGCGAATGGGAGGTGGCCTTTTAGGGAGTCCGGGATCCCGACTACGCTGGCTTCGCCGATGGAAGGGTGGGAGAGAATTACTTGTTCGATTTGGCCTTGTTTTCATTAGCGTTCTTTTCTTCTTTTCTTTAATGGGTTGGATGTGAGGGGGGAATATACCGGTACTGAAGCGGTGCGCCGCAACGTTAATGATATCATCGGATCGAGACATGATGTGCACGTATCCATCTTCATCAATCAGACCTGCATCGCCGGTATCCAGCCACCGGCCGTTGAATCGTTTCAAGTATCCCTTGTAGAAGCGTTCTTCGTCTTGGAAGAGACTTGTGAATGCGGTTGGGGCGAGCGGGAGTGCCATTACGATGTTACCCATGGTTTCGGGTGGAACTTCGTGGCCTTCGTCGTTGACGATTCGAACGTCGAATCCGGGCATGGGGAGACCTGCTGAGCCAGGCCGGATGGCGAGTGGACTGCTCGATCCTGCATTTGAGGGTAAGGCGGCATGTGCATCTAGGGCTAGACCTGAGATGGGGGAACCAGACTCGGAAGACCACCAGTTGTCGATTACAAGGGTGCCTGGGGCAGCGTATTGGGATAGGAGGTCTTGGTACGTGCGGATAATACTTGGTTCGCTGCGTTCGCCAGCTAGGAACAGGGCTCGAAGGGATTTGAGGCCGCCTCGTTGACCTACTTCTTTCAAGAACTTGTCATTTGGGTCGTCTTTGCGGATGGCTCGCATTGCTGTTGGTGCGGTGAAAAGAGTATTCACTCCGTGTTTCTCAATTGTTCGCCAGAATGTTCCTGCATCTGGTGTGCCGATGGGCTTGCCTTCGAAAAGTACGGTGGTCGCGCCGACCAGCAGCGGCGCATAGAGGATGTACGAGTGACCAACGACCCAGCCGATATCTGAGGCGCAGAACATCACATCTCCGGGCTTGATACCGAACAAGGACTGGATAGACAGCTCGAGACCAACAGCGTGGCCTCCAGCTTCTCTGAGGACACCCTTTGGCAGACCCGTTGTACCTGTTTCTATCAGCAACGTGACCGAGACAATCATGATTCAACCTACCGCTCGTATAAATGATATACAACCCATCGGTACTCTTCACAGGCACGGGTCCAGCCCGAATACCACGCCCACGCGCACTTTTAACCAGCCGCTGCCAGTTTCGCTGACCACTCAATTTATCTGGGTTATTCCAACGCATCTGGTCCCGCTGCCACACGATAACCTTCAATGGCTTGAACCGGCTCGCCTCCACGGCTCCCTCCACCAAAGGCCGATACGAAATCGGCCCCTTGGAACCTTCAACCCCGCACGACGCCGTCATGATTGCTCGGGGTCGAGCTGCTTCGATCCGCTGTGCCAGGGACTTGGCAGCGAACCCGCCAAAGACCGCAGCATGGATAGCTCCAAGTCTGGTGATAGCCAGCGCTGCAATGAGCGCGGCTGGAATCATCGGCACTGCCCATTGTCAGACAGTTCATTTCCACTCTGCAGGTATTCATAGCATACTGTAGATGATAACCACATCCCCTTTTCGTACACCTTCCTCTCGTAAGACGCCAGCAAGAACCTCCACCTCATCCAATAGCTGCGCATAGGTATATTTCTCCGTCGTGTGTGTCACCGGCGACTCCCAGATGATGGCAACCTGATCGCCCCGCCCACTAGCAACATGTCGATCCACACAGTTGTACGTCGTGGAGATCTCTCCATCCGGGAACCACGACCAATGTTCATGCTGGGTTCCACTGGGGAGGGTCTTAGTCTGACGCGTCAGAGCTCGACTCGGCTTGCGGTGCCAGTGGAGCCTCTCCGCGTGACCTGACCAGAAGCTCTCTGGGTCGGTGAGGGACTGTTTTAGCGCGGCTCGTTGCGGGTGTGCCATTGTGCGTTGATGGAGGTTCAGAAGCGCGGATTCTTGCCGGTTATTAATCCCTGTCGGCACCCGTGGTCTCGGTTGGGCGGAGGAGATTCGATTGGAGGGGTTGTATGCAGGGATAATCCCCCTCTGAGAGCTTGGGGGCGAGGATGTAAATGCGGGGAGGAACTGCCCGAGGATGTCCGTGCTTTCCCCGCAATTAGGTGGTACTTGGCAGGTACATGTGAAAGCTGAAGGCCACCGTAGACTGTGATGTATTTATTGCGTAGTGCGAGGCTAAACCCGGCTTGAGTTTCGTTAGCTACTTTCTACGTCCCGTGGTTGACCGAGATCTCCGAATACGTCTGGGTATCAGTCGACACCTCGCACGTCTCCCTGTGAAGCATTGAGTTCAAAATCTGTATTGTCTATATACTCGCGGAAATGGCTGGCACAAATTCAAAAATATAAAATGACAAGCTCAGTCGTAGGGTATCATATCGAAATGCCTGCTAATGCGCGACTGCGATCTTCTGGCTTCGTCGCCTGGGAGGGTTTTGTTTTTGTTTTGTTTGTGGCGTCGGGTGCTCTGAGGAAATGCAATGCCTCAATCGTCCGTGGGCCCGTATGCCACCAACGTCCCAGGCATCAAGCGGGGGAGATATATCGGTGCGAGTGGGGGTTGCCTTAGATACAGGATTTGCGATTCAGCGGGGGCCGAGTGCCGCGAGTCCGGTGCCGATGGACAGAGGTGCAAAGGTGCAATCCAAAGAAAAGTCGAGAAAGAAAGCGTAGAGGGTAGCTTCTCATCTCCAGTCTGCGATGGCCGAGCGCAGCAGAAATGAAGCACGATCGAGGGGAGAAAGAGGCCGCCGACGCCAAACGAGGTCGTAACCAAAAGACAGAACTACCCTCCAAATGCACCCGAGACCAACAGAATTATAAAAGAAAGGAACAAGGAAAATTAGGCCATGGAGGCACGGAATACCCTCCCGGACGGACCGGCCTCACAGGAGAACACACTGCAGCCGACTGCGATGCCGTGTTCGGTCTGTCCGAAAAGGCTTGGGGTACTCGGCCTCTGCGTTACGGTCGCGTCCCGATCCGAAGCCAGTCGGACGACGGTCCTGACCCCGACCGCCCTGTGCCTGCTGTCGCTGCTGCCGCAGCATGCGGACGACGTCATAAAAGGCCTTTTCGACATTGATACAGTTTTTCGCTGACGCTTCGACGAATTCGCAGCCGAGCTCCTTGGCGAGGGCCTGACCTTCCTGGGCGGAAACGGCGCGCTCGACCGCCTTGTCGCTCTTGTTGCCGACGAGCATCACAGGCACGGGTAAGGGGGGGCGCCCGAGGTGTTCATCGGGGAGGCCAGGTAGCTGGGACCGGAGGGGGATCCGGAGCTGGATGATTCCTTGACCATCTTGATCTGGTTGTAAAACTTGGTAATGCGCGAAAAGGAAGCGCGCGATGTGATGCTGTAGACGAGAACGAAACCTTCACCATCACGGATCCACTGGTCTCGCAGCGCGGTGTATTCTTCTTGGCCCGCGGTGTCCAGCACTTCGAGCATGCATGACTGACCGTCGATGACGACTTGTTTGCGGTAGGAGTCCTCGATAGTTGGATCGTAGGTTTCGACGAAGTGGTTGAGGCAGAGCTGCAAGCTCCAGGGTCAGTTTCCCGTTCGGATCCGTTGAGGATTGAACCAACCTGAATGGTAAGGGCCGTTTTGCCAACACCTCCGTCGCCCAAGACCACCAACTTGTACAATGTCATTTTCCCCGACATGGCGGGCACGAAAGAGGGGAGATGTGTGTGGGAAAAAGGGAGCTCACAACAGATGACGCAGGTTGTGTGAAGGGGGAGGAAAAGAGGGGGGCTCCAGTGTGCGAAGTCTGGTCCGGGCAGTGGCTGGAACTAAGTGGAGAGGGAGGGGTTGGTGGACTTTGTGGGATATGGGAAACTCTTAAGGCCATCGAAACTCCATTCCTTCCATCATTCTGCTCTACCCTGGTCAATTGCTATTCCGAGACCGTCTCGGGTACGTGGGACGGGAGGGGGAGAGCAAAAAAAAAAAAAAAGAAAAGAAAAGAAAAGAAAAAAATGCTAAGCCCCTCTACGGAGGAGAGATAACTACAGATCGGGGACTAACTAGATATGTCGAGCGATAGAGAGTAAAATGGTGAAAAGGAAAAGAAGAGGTGCGCCCTGTCCATGAGATCATACATTCTCCCAAAGGGGGGGAGGGCGTGTTTGCCCAATGCCCAAGGCCCTATACCAGACCCTATACTAAGCTCTGTCTGTATCTCCCTCGTCGTCCACGATTTCTAGTCTTTTTGACTAGACCTATAGGTCCCTATATTCCGTACCTATGCTCGATGCTCTATGGTCTACGTTCGATCGCAGAAAAGTCGGGTCCCCGGGAAGAAAAGGGGATGGGGAACTCGCACAGGGCACAGTGGATAAGAAGATTCCGGACCCAGAGCCACTCAGGGGGTCGAGACGAAATTGGTCTTGCCTCTATACCACGACAGGAAGCTGCTATGGCCTTGGTGGATCCCGGTCCAAGCGAAAAGGTTTTTTCACAAATCTCTATGTGTATGTTCGGATCTCGCACGTGGGAAATCTCAAGTGCCGTTCTGTTTCGGTTTCGGTTTCTTCATACTCCACAGAGCGCGTTCCATCAAGATCGTGAACTGGTGAACTGAACTGAACGCGGATGAACCCGGTCGTTTCATCTCTAGTCCTGGACTCCGTCACCCTATCATGATCGACCGTAGACCTTCACTAGACACTCACTAGACATTGACTAGACAGTCAATCTCCTTCTGGAATGGCTCTAAGCCATGCTGGAACCGGACTAGAGCCGTCTCCTTTTTTTTCCCCCTTCTATCTTCGCCTGGTCACCGACGGAACCGGATATATGGAGAGTATGTCCCGACACGTTGGACTGGATGCCTCCTCGACGACTCGAGTGGTCAGGAGGCATCCACCCGGCGGAACGGCGCGTGAGTTCCCGCTGATAGATCGTCCCCGAAAGCTGCCTGGATGAGTACAGTGGAGCTGCCGAATTTTCTGTCTTGAGAGACGACACTTAATTTCCCACTCTGCTGCCAATTGGAGCCCAGGCAGCTTTCCGGCTACTCTCCGGCGGGCTGCTCCCACAGTCGTCTGGCCGCGGGTCCTAAGCTAGGCCAGGTATGAGACTCAAAGGTCCAGACTCTGGGTCCACGAGATCCCTCTCCTGCCTGCTTCGCCCTTCGCATGACCCGGCCACTTTGAACTCCTATATTCCCCATATCGTAGTGATGTGCTCTTCCCTCTTTTTCAAATTTCAGCCTTAATTTTGTACACATCCTAGGATTGTGATTGTGGCATGATCTCACCTCGTGCAGGAGCTCGTACCTGGCCCTCCGGCCGCGGTAATGCCCGCGAAAGGTGACTAGGGGTTAGAGACAATTAATGTCTTCCAAGCCAATAGTCGCCGTTGCACTTCGGAAATCGACCGGGGTCCCCGGCCGTTAGATGGAGACGCCATATGACGTTCAACGGCCCGCTATGGTCTCGTTCTGGTCAGATGGATATCCGCTCGAGCTGGTCCTTGCTCGACGAATCCGCTGGACGGACGTATCCCCATCTAATGGCCTTGTACGTGTCTGTTTAATGGCCCCTGACATTGCCCGGGTGACATGGAAGATCGACATGGCAGGTTCCGGTGGACTGGCTCCTGGGTAGACTATATCAGAATTGGACAATCAACCGGATCACGGGGGATTAGAGTGGACATGAAATCAGTGGCATTCTTCCCTTTGCGGGCTTGGCTTTTGGAGCTCATTTCCAGGGGTGTCAATAGTTCTTGGACTAGTCACAGAATTGCCTCCATTTAACCGTTGAGCTCTGAAGGATTTGATTGATCTGCTACGACGACGCTTTCCTAGGAAAGTCCTTGGAATTTTTAATACTGGGAAAGACGTCGGACCCGAGCCACGAAACATGCCTGTGCAAATTGAATGAAGGCTGTCCAGAATTGTGTCCCAGAGAAACATGGAACGTCATACTTGCTCAATGCAGTAGTCTAGAGCTGGAGGGTCTCTTCCCATCTAATATATTTTATTTATTCACTCCAGGAACTGAGACCAGCATGATACAATTGTCGGGTTCAAATGGAGACCAGAGCTACAAGAGTAGGCATGTCGAATGCGTGAAGCACATGTCATGCTAAGGTGTTCAATTGCACACCTGAGCACCCACTTGAGACATCTAATTTGGTCTGCAGTCGGTGTTTGTGTTATCCATATCAGTGAAAAAGCCAAAAAAGAAAAAAAAAAAGAAGAAGAAAAGAAAAGCGAAAAAAAAGATCACCCGACCGGGGGGTCGAACCCCCGAACCTTCCGATTAAAAGTCGGACGCTCTAGCCAATTGAGCTAGCCGGGTGAATCATGTAAGACCCCTTCTTTTCTTGGAACTCATCACACAAGAGTTGTTTCCACTTTCGTGATTTTTTTTTATTTCCTCAAGGCAGTACATTCCAAGTTCGGGATATATGACAACTGTTTGCTTTTGTGTGGGAATAGAACTCATAAAAACAAAAGCAACAAGCAGTACAAGCCGGCACTTCGTTCGTGGCACCCAAGCCACCACAACAGTTGTCTTGTCTTCGCCCGTAATGAAGAGGAGGATCGGTTACTCCTGGTCTGAATAAGCATCTTCAACTATGGCTTATTCGAAAGTCGATCAGATTTTTATTCGCTTTCAATTTTCGGCCGTTTTTGAAAAAAAAAAAAAAAAAGTTGGTAGAGGAACTTCCCGCTAAAAATATAGTCTAACTGAGCTAGATGGTGAGTATCAAAGGGCCTAGGCGATGGGTCGCTTTCAGCTGGACATTTCTCTGATATGATATCAAAATAACCTAACCTGGCAACTCGGTCTATTTGGAAGGATAGATTTGAATGGTGCAAAGTCATCTATGGGATTTTCATGCTGTTCACTCCGCACGTAATGGTGGAGCCTTGTTGTATAATGTGAAACAGCGCCTGGTAGTGCCCATAGAGGCCATCGAATTCAAGACTGACAACAGGCCGCCCGGATCAATCATACTAGGGCGTTCTCACGCCCAGAGACCCTGTCAAGTTATCAATCCATCGATTAGGTTTGGCTATTTGGTATATAAATAGTATGAAACTCGCTAAGCTAACCCTTCAGAATATCATTTAAATACCCAGTCACCCTCTCCACCAGTATCCGTCTTGGCTCCTTCTGATCTGAATCACTCAAAGCATGCGAAGCACCAGGAATAACCATACTCCATGGACTCCAGAAATGTGTACCGTCTGCATCCATGGCCTTCTCCCACCGCTTAATCAGCGCCTCCTTGTTCACCCACGGAGGCACAGACTGGTCCCGACCAGAATACAGCACCAACAACTGCTGCTTCAACAAACCCCGCACCCCAACTTGTCCAAAAGTTTCCTTCAACCGCTGGTCGCTTAGATCTGAACTAAAGAGATCGTCTTCCTCCGGCTTCTCGGGACTGTCCGGGCTGACCAGACTTAAGAATCGCCGGCTACTCACAGGCGCCGAGGTCGGGTATCCAATACGGCCCGTCACAGAAAGCGGCACAACCGTGTCAACAGAGTTGTGATACTCGTATGTGTGTCGTTTTGCATCGTCAACCGCTTTATTGTAGATCTCGCGCATCGTCTCGGGACTATCCCGCTCCGTGCCACACTTGATCACCCATAGAATGCCTTCCCGATCCGATACAGGAGCTTGCATAATAGCGCCATCAACCTCCGGCCGGGTAACAGGCGTCCAGTCCTTGTCGAAGACAGGATGTGCCGGACGCGGGTTCGGGCAGTTGATGTAATGCATTACATCCTGGCTACCAGTCGAGTGACCCATGATAACCACCTTTCCCGGTCCGAACTGCGGTGTCTTATATTCTCGAACGTAGTTGACTGTGTGTGCGATCTCGTCAATGTCGTTCCCTAGTCGGCCCATGCCCCAGCCTCCGTACGAGCAGGATAGAACCAGCCCAAAGACTGTCCATTGCGTTGGGTCTAGGGCTCGAACGATGTCGCTTAGATATTCGACTGTGCCGAGACCATCGCCTAATCCTCCTACAAAGATGAGGGTGTGTGGTTTGCGGATTGCACCGCGCGTATATTCGAAAGAGATCAGGCTCGGAGTCTGGTGGTCGGATTAGTCGGGTGGCGGGTTATGAGGGATGGGGCGGCTTTACGATGTGGTGGAGGATGCCTGGCTGGCCGCGGGCCAGGGAGGTCAACGCTTTGATTTGCATAATGTGAGCCGTGGTAGGAAGCTTGGAGACGGAGACTGGAGACTGGACTTCGAGTATCCGGAGGAAGCTGTCGTCAGATCAGATAAGGGGCCATCAGATAAGAAACGCCGATAACGGGGCTTTTCCAAGTGTGGAATTAGGGCTTGTGCTGTTACTTGACGAGTACGCGGTATAATTACGTTTATTACGCGTAACATTACACTGCAGGTGGGCCGAGCCAACTGACACGGCACAAGGTGGGTTCTAAAGTTTGGATACTAGGTTTTCTCTAATCTCTTTCCAGAATGATCTGATTGATAATTTTCATGTAAGATTTGCCAGGTGTCCAAGGCTACATGCAAGGTAGATCCAGAAGGTCTATGTCTGTGGAAAGAGGATTGGTATTAGTTAGAATGCTCAGCGAACTGTCGGGAGTTTACCCAAGTGACCGGAGAGCTTAGGCTTCCAGGAGGTCAAACATGGATCGTAGCAAATTTAATTGAGGAGAAAATTAGATGAATACTAGGTAGGAGAGAACTGTGCAATACAATGATCTAGTAACACAGAATGGCAACTGCTATACAGATATACACAAGTTAAAAGAACAGCGGATTTGAATCAGACCACAGCGGTAGGATCACGTACAAAACCTTCAATGGCAACAGCTAACTCTTCCAGCCTCGCCTTCCAGAAATCCATTCTTTCCTCATCTGCTTCAATTCCGACAAATGTCTCTCCAGCCTCCGTATACGAGACAATACGAGTTGGACTGGGCGGCTCGGGGTGCGGGTTCGTATAGTCAACACCACACTCGGTACCCGCAAACGGAATCTTGTCAAAGTACTCGATGTCGTGGTGGTGCACTATAGACGAGAAGAATGGAATAGTAGGGGACCAGCTTGTGCAATTATCCGAGATCTCTTGGAAGCCAAGCGTGGCGTGGCGGCTTCCTTCGAGGAATTGGTTCCGCACGCCTTCGAGGAGGTCTTTAACTGTCCAGCCAGGCTGAAACTTGACTCGGAGTGGCATATATTGGTAAGTTGGTCCCATGATGCGCTCGACACCTGGGAGGTCGACAGTGCGACCTGATACGACGCTTCCGAAGGTGATGTCGTCTTTGCCGAGATATTGAGCCAGCACGCGAGCCCAGCTTGCTGTGAGCAGGGTGGCCATGGTTGTGTCCGGAGATCGGGCAGAAAGGTTGGCGGCCCTCTTGATAAACTTAGCTTTGCTGCCCACTGCAGGTGCTGGGAGAGTAGTCAACCAGGATCCCTGCAGGACGTTGCGCCAGTATTGAATATTCTCAATTTTGGAGTCAGACTGGTATTGTATGTAGTTGGAGAATGGCGCCAATGGAGGAATTTCCTTGTGATCATATTGCATTTCAAGCTGTCGGAGAATTTCAGGAAACGAAATTCCGTCGTATTGAGCGTGTGAGATCCTTATCATGAAGCCTGTCTCTTCAGCACCATGGATGATGAAAAGGTGCAGGAAAGACGAGCCAAAGACAAACGAAGTATTGACTTCGATGTCTTCACTGGCTAGCTTCTTGCAGAAGTCATCCACAGGCCCGTCTATTTTATGCTCGGAGACGGGGACCTTGAGGCTCTTTAAGACTACCTGCATAACGCGGCGGCTATCCTTGATGAACACGGTACGCAGAATTTGGTAAGCAGAGATGAGTTGCTCAAATGAGCTGACAATGTGCGTTATATCAACAGTCTTGTTGAAGTACAACATATTGTACTGAACAGCGCTCCGCGGTGCAAAAACAGTCGCCTCCACATCACACTGTTGTGTCTCTGTAGCCGGAAGTACATCCTGAATGACCCAGGAAGAATCTCCCAGAGCAGGCTGAATATTGGCTAAGAGATAAGGCTCGACATGCTCGACGTTCAGAAGTGAGAATGGCTTGTATTCCTTGGCCACGCGCTGGCCCTCTTCAGGCAGCTCCTCGAGGGCACCAGCCATGGCACGCAGCTGCATATTGCGGAAAATCTTCGTTACCGACAAATGGTAGCCGACCAGACGGAGTGCTGAGACTAGCTTCATAGCCATGATAGAATCACCTCCCAGCCGGAAGAAGTTGTCATCTAGAGCTAGCGTTTCTTCTTCCATGCGAAGTGATTTGGCCCAAAGACCACGAAGTACCCGCTCCTTTGCCGTCAATTGCTTCATTCTTTGGCTAGAACGCAAGTTCATGAATGCTGTTCGCAGCTGCAATAAGAGCTCTTGGGTAACGTGCTCCGCTGTAACTTGAAGTGACACCACATCAACTTGCTCGCCAATGTAAGGAATATTCTCAAGAGGAATGTAGACGGAGGGGACCATATAGGGTGGTAAAACATCAGCCAGTTGCTTCTTAAGACTCACGATGGACTCGGCAAGCTGTGGAGAGATGACTGTGGACAGCGGAAGCTCCGAATCCTTGGTATTGATGCCAAGCTCAACCACGGTGGCACCTTCCTTGGAGCGAGCCTGGCTAACAAAAGCAACAAGCACCGGGAATTGAGTATCGTGGCCTTTTGGCACAATAAGCTGACTTGCGACTTCGGTATTTGGGAGGAAATTCCGCAGCTGAAGATCGATGGCAGCAAGATCCATGACATGGCCATCTACTCTTCGGAGACTTTCTTTGCGGCCCATAAAGACCAAGGACTTGTCATCAGCGTATTTGACCAGGTCACCAGTCTGGTAGAGCTTGCTGTTCCGGCCCGAAAAACTCTCTGTGCCCTGCTTCAGCCACTCGGGGGCGTCGACGTTTGCAACATCTCCAACGCCTTCTAATAGCAGCTCACCCACTGTTCCAAATGGCATCAACAATTCGTGATTGAAAGGGTGCACAATCCACGGGACAAAGCTTGTGGAGTATTTTTCTGCAAGCGCCTTCGTTTCCTCGTGAGCTTTATCTTCTGAAACAATAGGCACCTCTTTGTTTGCCTCCCAGATCTCGGCGAGCTCTTGCTCGCCCAAGTAGATGATACTGCTCAACTGAGAGTTCTCGTTATCAAGGAGCTGGAAGGCCACATATTCAAGCTGTGCAAGTACCCGGTTCATTTGCGGCTCGGTGATGAGACCAGAATCGAAACCAGCAGTCACCTCAAATCCATCGGAGCGCAAAGAGCACGCGAGCATCAATGGGTAGGAATTAAATCGAAGGGCCTCATACGCTGCATCCTCGGCCCGGAACATAGGAAGGTCGTCTTCGGCCTGATATGCCTTCTCTGCTGGTCGTGGCTGAATGACCAGACCCATCTTAACCTCGCAGGCCAGCTGGGCATCAGCGCTCACACGACGAATATTCTGCATGCCGAGATGCTCGTGCGCAGCTCGTACAAGGCCTTGCTCCTGGATAGACTGCAAGAATTCTCGCATGGGCGCAGATCGATCAATACGCACTCTTACAGGGACTGTGGTGATCATTGGACCTTCAATCTGCTCAACGCCAGGAATGCGGAGGGTGCGTCCAGCAAATGTTTCTCCAAATACCACGTCGTCGCTCATAGTATATTGCGAAGCCACTAGAGCCCATGCAGCTCGGATGAGTGTCGCTGTAGTGGTGCTCGATCGGTTGGTTTGCCGGACAGGAACAAACCTATGAGCAACCGCGTTGGGCTCGGGGATGTACATCCGAGACGGCAACGCAGGATACTGGGGACCAGTAGCACCTTGCAGTTGGACCCGCCAGTAGTCCTTGGAGCTTTCTCTGACTGGATCAGTCAGATACTGAATAAAGTGCTTGAATTGCGCCGGGCGTGTGGTTGGAAGAGCCTTGTATGCGTTCTGCGCATGCTCGAAGAGTAGGTCTGTCGACCAGCCGTCGTAGACTGCGTGGTGAACCGTCCAGACAAAATGAATCTTGTTGGTCGACTCGCTGTGGACGATAGAATATCGACTCAGTGGCATATTGACCGACATGGGAGTATTCTGATCTTGTTTCAAGAATTCGTCCAAGTTGAGACTAATGTGTTGCCATTCTGGGGTTTCGTTGATGACAACCTGCATGAATCCGTGTTCCTTGAACTCAGCCACGCGAGTACGTAGAACTGGACTCTCTTGAATGACGGTACTCCAGGCCTCTTTCAACCTCTCTGTACTTTCTCTGCTTGGGATCTCTGCAACTCGCTGTGCCACATGACTCTCAGCCGAGCGAGCAGAGAACGCCATCAGGATCTCTTGCAAAGGTGCGCATGGGTAGATATCCTCGACAGAGGCTTTTCCAACACCACATTGGCTAGCTGCCTCTTCAAGAGCGGCATCACGGTCCCAAGCAGGGTCAATCAAAGAGAAGGGGGCCACCTCGACCTGCGAGTCAGCCTCTTCCCTTTGCATAGAATTTGCCATATCCGACAGGACAGGGAAGCTGAAGATATCCGCAACAGTCAAAAGGAATCCTTGGTCGCGCACTGCGGGCACCAACTTCATTGCCAGGACAGAATCTCCGCCGAGAATGAAGAAGTTGTGAGTGGTGCTCACTTCATCTACAGTCAGCCCAAGAAGACGACACCAAATCCCATGCAGGCAGGTCTCTGCCTCGGAGCTAGGATTCTGTCTTTCGCTATTTGACGAATCGGCTGAGTTTGATTGCAGGTTCAGTTGGGATCCAAAAGAGCGCAGCAGCTTCCGATCGGTCTTTCCAGAGACGAGCATTGGCATACGGTCGATACCGACGTATGCTGATGGGATCATGTACACCGGAAGGGTTTTGCCCAACTTTTCATTAAGGTCCTTCATTGCCTCCTGAACAAGAACCGAAAATTCGACCTGTTGAAGCCCGCTATCCTCAGCGCCTTCCACCTTTTTACCATTAGGATCAGCAACAAAGGCCTGCAGCATCGACTCTTTGCTCCGGCCCTGAGGCGCAATGACTTCGGCTGCGATGTCGGTTCCAGAGGGGAGGAGTCTCCGCAGGTGATGCTCAATCTCCCCGAGCTCGACTCGTTGCCCACGAAGTTTGACCTGCGTGTCCTTACGACCGACAAAGATGAACCCTTTCTCTCCATCTGGATCGTAGCGAACAAGGTCACCAGTCTTGTAAAGTCGGCCACTACGTCCGGGTACACCATCGGCACCAGCCAGGAGCCATGTAGGATCCTCAATGAAGGAAGCCGCTGTCTTTTCAGGATCGCCAAGATACCCTTGGCCTACAATCGGGCCTTCGACTAGAAGCTCGCCGACTGCGCCGATTGGCATCAATTTGTTGTGATCATCGGGGTCCACGAGCCAAATCACGCCTCCGTTGCCGGGTCCGATACTAACGTAGGACTTTCCTGCGGCACTTGGGTTGATCGTGCATCCAACAGTGCACTCAGATGGGCCGTACCCGATCACGATTCGAGTGTGCTTGCCCCATTCAGAGACGTCACCAACAGAGCATGATTCACCTCCAAGACCAAGACTGTGCAACGAAGGAATAATGTCGTCATCCAAAATTCGGGCAACTGAAGGTGTCATGTTGGACATGGTGATTTTCATTCGACGAAGCACGCCGCTCAGATCATTCAGACGGTCTTCATCGGAAGGAATGCAAAGACACCCACCTCGGAGCATCGTGCAGAGCATACTGTCCACACTGACATCAAATGCATATGAGGCAAAGTCAAGCACTCGAGTATCTGATTTGTAGCCCACAGCTGCACTACGGGCAATGGCACTCGTGGTATAGGCGACATGATTGATGATCACCCCTTTCGGCTTGCCGGTGCTTCCAGAGGTGAAGATCAGATAGAGAATGGAGTTTGTCGGGACCTTTGGAAGCCCAGGCTGGGTATTGTTGGACGCTTTCTCGGCCAGCTCATGGAGTGAATCTTCAGCAATGGCAACCGTAGTGGCACCGGGGGCAATCTGGGAACCATAAGGACCATGTTTCTTTGATGTGACAATCAAAGTGGCGCTGACTTGCTCCGCAATGGTCTGTCGTCGCTCCAAGGGTTGACTGGGGTCCATAAGGACAAATGCACCACCAGCCTTTATTACACCAAGGACACCAACCACCGTCCAGCGCGACTTTTCGAAACAAATTGGCACGATCTGCCCGATTTTTATACCGAGTCCAACGAGATGATGCGCAAGAATGGTCGAGTGTCTCTCCGCCTCTCCATATGTGAGGTTACCATCCCACGAGCAAACTGCCTGCGCCTCAGGTTGTTGTCGCGCTTGCTCCGATATTAATTCCTGAATACATGTGTCTTCGGCGGGAGGTAAGTCTTTGTTCCAGCGCCAAATTTCAGACCGGTCGAGTTCGCCCAATTCAAGTACGGACGAAACCGGCCTGGACATATCTGTAAGTAGTGTATTGAGGATCTCCACCAACGCATTCGTAAAGTGTGTCGCGATGTATTCGGCACCGCGGGGCTTGCGCCAGCACGGGCGCAGCCACAGGTTACCATCAGACATAGTCGCTTGAAGTTGGATGTTTCCCTAAATTCCGCGCATTGGTAATTGATCATATAGTTTGCGGCTAGGAGTTCTCTTACCCATTCCATTCCACTTTCGAGCTCGTCGCTATCGCTAACTCTAGCATTACTAGGCAAATCGCTAGGCGCGCATTCATCGTTGAGGAATAAAACCGCATTGTCCAATGCGACTAGGTTCCCTGCTTGTGTTTCCTGGCGATAAGACTGAACACTCTCCAGGGCCCTCGCGACCGGATCGGACGCGTCCCAAGAAACAGAAGTGTCGAAATTGGAAGTGAAACCCGCCGTCGTGCCATTCCGGCCCCAGGTGAACTGGACGTGATTGCCATTGCTATAGCGATACAGCAGCAAGGCCCAAGCTAGCAGCAGGAGTTCAACTTCATGACCACTGTATTCGCTAGCCCGCACGATAGGTACATCAAAACGCACAAAAGTGGCTAGGTACTTCTTTGGAGCCTTGCGCTCAGAGGAAAGAACGGCGCCTGAAGCCATCATAAAAACCCTGGAGTCCAAGGGTTTGAAAAATCGCTGGGACCTGTCGATCAGATAACTCGCAAAGATCAGACACATCCACCAGAGCCCGGGAATTAACCCCTCTGTCGGGTTGCTTTGGCCGACGACATCGGTGCTTCGCGAGACCCACGGGCTTAGATGTGTCACCGGTCTACAGAAGAAAAAAACACCAGAATTTTTGGGAAGGGGCATAGCCCCGGCTTACTTGATTGAGATCAGGTTTTAACTGGGAATTGTGAATTGGGACATACGTATGAAATGTACAGTAAAAAAGTACCGTACGTATGTAAGTAACATTAATATTACTTAGATATGATACTGCACGGTAGTTAGGTATTTATATGCCGACAACTCACACGGGATGGCGTAAGACTCCACAATCTCTCCCGCTTATGCTTATTCTTAGTCTAGCTTTAGGAGCTACACTCGTAGATGAATAGATGAACCTTTCGGGGAGATGGCGTCGAAATTTTTGAAACATTTGGACTACTCGAATACTTACAATCAATACGATTCCAAGTTAATCGCAACCTTGGGACCAACAACTTTCGCCGCTGCAAAATCTTTTGGATGATCGGCAAGTCTAAGTTTGTAACATGGGCTTGGCGCATTATTACGCCCTCCACTTGGGAGACACGGCCCCGATCTCTTTCAATCTGATTATTATTTTATCTGTACAATTGTACAATTACCGTCCAAGTCCGCGTATTCCAGCTGCGTAACGATCGTCCCTTGGGACTGCCTGCTACGTTAATGCGAATGCCCGGACCCACAGGCGCATGGCTACTTCTGGATGCTCTGGAGAGCAATGAAACCATGAATGCGAGTTCGGAGCCCACGGGGCTCCCGGCTAATTGACTTGCATTGAAACCGAGCCAAGCTGCAGACTTTCCCTTTACAAGTCCCTGCAGAACTCTCCAGAATTTGACTCTTCGTATCGAACAGCCATGGTAAACTCTCAGCAATTGGCGCCCGTGAAGCTTCGCTTGCCCCATCCTTATCTCACTACCTATCACCTGGAGCCCTCCGGCAAGTTTCAGGATGGCAGTCAATTGTTGCAGCTGCGCAAGGGCGAAGGAGCGGCTCGGCCGCTTCCTCGAGCCTTGCACAATGACGAGCTCTATTTCACTGCGCTGCAATCAGTGAACCAGGAAACTGCAGAGCCTACATCAAACAACACAGCTTGGGCCCGCGCGCAACGCAGCCCGTTCTCCATCTGTACCTGGGAGGGTTCTGTACCAACTGTCGGCCAGGTCTGGCTATATCTATATGCCATTTTTACTGTGCAGGAAGAGATTGAGACATTCCGTCTCCAGCTAAACGGTCACGATGCCGAGTCTCTGGCACATGCTCTCCGAGTATCAATGGTGGCTATCGATCACCCGACACCTGTCAGCAGCGTTACCCAGTATACGCCAGTTCTGAACGAGCTGCTCATCATGCGCAGCGCCTTCTGGCAGGGTGCTGCCTCACCATTGGGCTCTCAGCCTATCTGGCTTCCTAACTGGAACCCTGCTTCCTCCGTTCCTATCCTCGACTATACCATGACCTCGACGAAAAATGTGCACCGTCGTCATCCCCGCCGCAACCCCAAGCCCACTCCTGGCAAAATTGTATACAGCCGTTACATTCCTTTCTTGGATGAGCATTTCTCGCTCGTTGCACTGGACTACCGCAACCCTGAACACCTCAACCTCTTTCACACTTGGCAAAACGACCCTCGTGTCGCAGCCGGCTGGAAAGAAACTGGTACCCTGGAAGACCACCGCGAATATCTCCGCCGCCAAGACGAAGACCCCCACACTCTGACCGTCCTCGGTCACTTCAATGATATCCCATTCTCATACTACGAAATCTTCTGGGCCAAAGAAGACAACGTGGGCGCGCACTACGCATCAAAAGACTTTGACCGAGGCCGCCATACTCTAGTCGGCAACGACGCCTTCCGTGGCCCCCACCGCGTCATGGCATGGTGGCCCAGCATGATCCACTATTGCTTCCTCGACGACCACCGCACTGAGAATATCATCGGCGAGCCAATGTCCACCAACGACAAGGTTCTCACCTACGACTACACTTTCGGTCTGCACCAGGCCCAGGTGATCGACTTGCCCCACAAGCGCGCCAGTCTGGTGAAGTGTACTCGCGAGCGCTTCTTCCAGCTCTGTCCGTTTAACCAGGGCAGCCCGCATATCGCCGGTACCGGGTTGGCTTTCAAGCCGCGCCTGTAGAGTTACGATACCAACTTTGCATATAGATTATGAATAAAAACATGTTTTTGACTTTTGCATCTTGCCGATATGTAGATCTGGACTTTGTGTCAGTCCCACTTCATCCCGTGCCAGATCTGAACAAGAAGGATTTTGCAAAAGTTTGGAGCCTAAGCTTTCATAATGAGAGAATGGGTATATATGGTTTCTACTCTAGATTCAAATGTCTGTTACTATGAGAACAATGCAAGACTTTTCTTGAGAAAGCGAGAGTGAACTTGTTAGGTGCCCACTCAATACAATGCCAAAAGAGTACGGCAATGCACAATTAAAGCTTGGCCTCGAACAATTGGGATGCGATTGTGTCGAGAAAATGGTACCGATGACCGATCCGCTACAACTCGAAATCTGGTTGCCATTGCTAATAATGTCTACGTATCCAAGCAAGCCCATAGGTTCTTGACTGACTGACTGGGGCTGGGTTAAAAGCTTTTCAAGTAGCGAGCGGGAAAAAAGGACGCGAATGTTGTAGATGGGTGTCTCCGAGTCCCAGCTGAATCCTATTCAGCTCGTGATGTTGGCAAAGAGCTTGACGGTGGCTAAGATGAGGAACATCAACCTCAAGAATGTGCTGCGCAGCTTTCCGAATTGAATTTATCGATAAGTTGACCGAAAATGATACCCGGAAGTGGGAAGGGTATACCAGCCGCAATGGCGCAGACAATACTAGTAATAAGAGCAATATCGAGCTCGGCCGTATTCGCCACGGCGTATATTGAGAGATAATTAAAATAAGTTTTTAGCCATAACAAGCGCGCGCCAAGTCATTTTCAAATTCTTCGCAAAAGATAACAGCAACATAATCTTCTCGAAGACCATCAAAGTCGTCTTTTTGGGGCGTCTTAACTCCCATCATGATTGCCCGCTTCGCACAGTTGCAGCTTGCTACTGGAGCTCAACTGTGCATCACTTGGAACCCTCCAAGCATGGAATGAGTATGGCGCAGATTGTGTGCCAGCCCGACAAGCCATTAACTCAACAGAAATAGTCCACGTGAAGTGGGCCGATTTCGCATCGACCCTGCTCGAGCTGTTACGCCGCGGGGAATTAAAACTGACAAGATCTTCATCGAAGTTATTGAAAAGGCGGTGGCGATGCGATATGAATTTCTGAATTTGATCATCAGTGAAGCTGGCTGGACCCAATGAAACCTCTCGTGCTCGAGCCGAACAAAGTGGACCTCTTTACTGGGATTACACAGGTGTAATCGGTATTTCCCGATACCCTTAACCATGAGTGTCTCCCTGGGGCTACGCATGAGATCCACTGAAGGAGCGTCAAATCTGGTTTGATACGTCCTTGGCATTCACGGCATTCTCGGGCTGTGCGACATGAAGAGGCTTGTTTGGGTGCAGATCCTATCGGAGAAGATACCCTTTGCGACAATGGGCGTGCCGTACGCAATTTTCAGGAAACAATTTCTTCCTTGTCTGGTTAGTGCCAAGCATGAAGTGGGTTTAATCCAGTTTGAGGGAACCTAAAATAAGGCCAGAGCTGAAAAGTTAGTCATTTCCATTTTATCAGATTACAGGTAATTATCAGTCTAATCAGATCGTTTAGGCTTCCGCGCGTTCCGTGGAACATTGCGTTTCATTTCTGTGCAACGGTATACTGTAATACATTTACCGTTCCAACGATACTGTTTGAAAGTTATTACGTTGAAATCGATCTGCATCGGAGACACCCCAATAGTCAAGCGTGTTAAGCATGTTATTCAGGTACAGCGAATTGTGCGTTCGCCAAATGTACTTGGCTTTTCGCTTTGACCTTGGGTAGCTATTAAGCATCAGAGCCAAGTTTATCTTACCTCAAGACCAAGGACTATCAACCGAAACTTTTACTGCCACTTGCGTTTATCATTATATCTCGATTGAGATGAGTTCACAAACCTTCAAGCGGCAATTACCGCCACAGAAATACGGAGATGTGTCATTCCCAGCTCCGCATATCATGCTGGTCATCTTCAATCGGCCCCAAGCACTCAATGCCATGACCAGTGAAGCGCAATATGAACTCGAGTCACTCTTTTCATGGTACGACAGCGAGCCATCACTTCGCTGCGCCATTGTTACCGGCGCTGGACGGGCATTTTGTGCCGGAATGGATCTGAAACAATGGCATCGGGCCACTACCTGTCGTGCAAACGGAGAGCACGACGGTCAACAAATGATGCCTCGGTCGGGCTTTGGGGCCCTTTCACGGCGTCACGGCAAGAAGCCGGTCATTGCTGCTGTCAACGGACTGGCTTTTGGTGGTGGAATGGAGATTGTCTCGAATCTGGACCTGGTGGTCGCTGCCAAGAGCGCACGATTTGCACTCCCTGAGGCTAGGCGAGGCGTTGTTGCCATGGCTGGCTCCCTGCCAAGACTTGCAAGAACTATTGGTCGTCCAAGAGCCACAGAGCTCGCATTGACCGGGAAGGTTATAACCGCTGCTGAGGCTAGGGAATGGGGGTTGATTAACGCCGTAACGGAGGATGGTGCGGCTGACTGCGCTGTCCTGAAACGTCCGGTTGTTAAGGCAGCCTTGGGATATGCGATGGATATCATCAACAATAGCCCCGACAGCGTAATTATCAGCCGGGCGGGTATCGTGGCTGGCTATGAAAATGGGAGTGCGGAGAATGCTAGTCGATTGTTGAGCGAGAACATGGACTCGGCTTTGAAAGAAGGTGAAAACTTTCGCGAGGGTTTAAAAGCATTTGCAGAGAAACGGGAGCCTCGGTGGGTGGACAGCAAGCTGTAAAACAGCTTGTACGTTTATCGTTTTAGCGTCAGCTGGTTCTGAGCATATTCATTTCTATATTACCGTCGATACCTTGAGAGCACAGCGAGAAGCATAATTCTTCTAATCACGTTTTCATATATGGGTGGAGCCAAGTCGGATGCCTACGTAAAGGAATACATAAAAGCAATATCGAAGCTGCAGACGCGTTCAGCGCGACCAAAACAGAGATCGTTGTTTGTCGCATGTGCATCAGGTACACACCAATAACACTAAATGACTTTATGGTGCAGAAATCCACTTCCCCTCAGCAGTCAATGTCTCTTCTTGTATTGCATGGCCTTGCATATAGAGCGGCAAGCATTGCAACTGGAACACTACTTGAATACAACGTTGGTTGCCCAATCGCTCGATGCGCTGGGCACCAGCATTGTATCCAGCCCACTAGATTCATTCACGCCACTGATCAAATCTGAAAATCGGAAGATGCAAGAGAGCTTTAAATCTTGCAAATGGTCCCGGAGGACGCATTTGCCGATCATGGCATACACTCCACCACTCATGGCCTGATGCCATGAGATTGGTAGTGGAGGTTTCCAGATTGTGACTCTACTAGTATTCCATTACCGCATATTGTAATGTAGAGAGATATTGTGCGTGTGGAAGTGTAAAAGTGTAATACCAAATTTCTACACATTCGAATGACCGGTAATACAAGCAAATGATAAGCTCCATCTCAACCCCTTGGCAGCCTTCGGCACGTGAAATCGGGTCAGAGCAACTTGCTTACTTAGCGGCACTTTTCGTTGAAGCTTCGATGTGATGTTCTTGGCCTGTGGCAGTCACGAGCTGCTTGTGGCATATTTGCGGCATATTTGCGGCATTCGGCCTCGACTCTTCCGCTCCGACACCTCGTACCACTCGCTTGCCCTTGCCAGGCCAAGCCTCTGAATCTTGGCTTCCACTTATCTGATCATCTTTCGGAAGATTAAGGAATAATCCAAACTAGCGCCCCATGTCTGTTGGGGTCGCTTTCCTGGGCATTGGGCATTGACCGAATCGCCGCCGCTGCCCAGCTTTTTAGTCACACCCCAACCTGGCGCCCCTCGCTTGGCATGGAAATGCCAACCTTTTCCATATTGCTATGTCTCTGATTCTTTTTGCGGCTTTCCTCGCGTTTAACGCTGCAGATGGATACTGCAGACCTCTTTGAGCGTTTAAGGCTTCTTTTGCCTGACGTGGTTGGTTTTATAGTGGATTTCCGCTCCTTCACTTACCTGTGCCAAGGTTTTTCCGCCATGCTCAGGACTCCTACGATGCGCAAGACTTAGCCAATTCGAAGGCTTGGCCGTCGGTTAATGAGTCGGCTAGCCGAAATACTTGGCAGGAAATAGCGCCACGTTGTGAAGGGGGCCTTCCTAGAGCAGACTTTTTTTAATTTCCGGTGTCAGTCGATCTGAACTTATTTAGGCCATATCCGCCTGTTCCTGATCTCTCGGCGCTTGATCTTATCTCTTCGTTGATTTCTCTTTTCTGTGTCTTGGGTTTTTTGTGGCTATATACGCTACAGTCCAGGATCTGGTCGTGGCTACACGTCGCTATGGCAGAACATAATACCTTCCAGGAGGCTAATGCCACCAAGACTGAGATGAATGTCAATATTGAGGGCCAGCAAGAGGAGGAGCCGGTCAGTTACGGCCCAGATGGAGAGAAAAATCCTGAAGCTGTTCCAGATGAGAATGCACAGGATGGTGTGAGAATAGCGGAAGCAATGACTCTGTCGTGGTCGAAGTCTTCTCTGATCATCGTCTACATTTGGTGAGTGGTCGCATGGGTTCTTGTCGCAGAAGCCTAGAAATTTACTAACGAGAGGTTGGCAGTATGTGGTTGCTTTACTTCAGCAATGCCTTTGAGGCATCACTTTCGTATAACCTGGATCCCTTCGTGTCCAGCGCGTTCCAGGATCACTCGCTACTTCCAATTATCTCTGTCGTGGCCAACGTGATGGCTGGTGCCACTTACCTGCCGGTTGCCAAGATTCTGAACTTGTGGGACCGAACTGTCGGCTTCGTTCTGATGATGGCTATTGCTACCCTGGGCATGGTCCTCATGGCAGCTTGCAACAGCTTCGAGCTTTACGCTGCTGCAAACGTAAGTTTTTGGCCATAGAACCTGAAAAAATACCAGCTGACAATGATTGCGATAGATTTTCTACTCGGTTGGTTTTACGGGCATGATTTTCTGTATTGACGTGGTCACCGCCGATACTTCTTCCCTGCGCAACCGTGGTCTTGCTTTTGCCTTGACTTCTTCGCCTTATATTATTACCGCATTCGGTGGCCCCAAGGCAGCAGAGTCCGTATATGCCATTAACTGGCGCTGGGGATATGGTGCTTGGGCCATTGTTCTTCCCTTCGTTGCTAGTCCCATGATTGTCATGATGCAGCTTGGTAAGAGAAAGGCAAAGAAAAACGGACTGGTCCTCAAAAAGCCTAGCGGCCGTACTTGGACCGAAAGTCTCGTTCACTACTTGATCGAATTTGACAGTAAGTGAATCACCTCTCCTTCTTTTATACTACCGACTGAGTCTGACTCGATTTTTCTAAGTCGTCGGAGTCTTCCTTTTGTGCGCTGGATTCGTCCTCTTCCTGCTGCCGTTCACTCTCGCCGCTTCATCTGCCGAGGCTTGGAGGTCCGCCCACATTATTGCCATGCTGGTCGTGGGCTTTGTTCTCATCGTCGCTTTCGGCTTCTGGGAAAAATTCGGTGCCCGCCACCCCTTCGTTCCATGGCACCTCCTGAAGAACCGTACTGTGATCGGTGCTTGCTTGTTGGATGCCAGCTACCAGATTGCCTACTACTGCTGGAACTACTACTTCACCTCTTACCTGCAGGTTGTCTACAACACCTCGCTTGCATCCGCCGGTTACATCGCGAGCATCTTCGATATCATCTCCGGCGTTGAGCTCTTTGCCGTTGGTCTCCTAATCAGCTACACCGGACATTTCAAGTGGGTGCTTATGTGGGGTGTTCCGCTGTACATGCTTGGTGTTGGCTTGATGATCTACTTCAGAAACCCTGGCTTTGATTTGGGTTATATCATCATGTGTCAGGTTTTCATTGCCCTGGGTGGTGGTGTTATCATCATTGGTCAGCAGGTTGCTGTTATGGCTGCTGCTGACCATGATGATGTGGCTGCGCTTTTAGCCCTGCTGGGTCTGTTTGGAACTATTGGTGGCTCTATCGGTGGAAGTATCTCGGGTGCTATCTGGACCAACACTCTGCCGGGTATGCTACAGTCTATGCTTCCCGACGACACAGTTGGCCAATGGCAGGAGATCTATGATGACCTTGCGGTACAGCTGAGCTACCCCATGGGCTCCCCCACCAGACTGGCCCTTCAGTACGCCTATGCGGCTACCCAGAAGCGAATGCTGATTGCTGGTACTGCCGTCATGGCCCTGAGTCTTGGCTTCATGATGATGATCCGTGACATTAATGTCAAGAAAATCCAGCAGACTAAGGGCTTGGTTTTCTAATTGTCTACACAGTTGTTGTTGGGCTATAATTTGTGGTCTGACGCTGGCTTTATAACTCTTTGACATTTTTGGAATGAGAATGAGAATGAGAATGAGAGACGTTTGACTCGACATTTCTGTGTACAGCATTTGAGATATTCCATTAGAGAATTGGGCTCGCGAATTAGACTGAGGATCGTAAAGAGTATAACAGAATGGAGGCGACTCGGCTTTATACATCAACACTTTGTCCAGCTCCCCGTCCTATTGCCGAAAGACTTCATCCCGTATGATCAGCCTTTGCCTGGCCACTCTACACACTCTTCTCGGGAGAAAAAATATCAGGAACAGGGCCGACGGGAAGAACGAGCTCCCGGTTGCCAGTTTTGTTTCCAACCGCGACGGCATATCCAAATTTGTACTGTACGTAGTTAGTCTCTTGTCTTTCAGCCTTGAGGTTATCACACGTACAATGTCAAAGTAAGTCGTCTCCTTAAATGCCCCTCTCGTCAATTCCGACTCATCATAGTAAAGCCTGCGGTACCAGCGATCAAGTCGCGGGTAGTCATGTCTGATCATCTTTAAATTGCACCGGAAGATCAAATAGTAAGCCACATCAAATCGAGCAATGGTGGTATACAGTCGAATATCAGCTTCGGTGACATTCTCACCGAACAAAAATGGCTGATTTCCCGATCGGCCCAGGTGTTCTTCGACGCGATCGAGTGCTTCAAAGAGTGGGTAGATATTTTCTTCGTAGGCGGCTTGTGTGGTTGCAAAGCCCGTTTTGTAGACTCCGTCATTGATCAGGGGATACACCCAGGCATTCATATCATCAATTTTGTTTCTCAAGTTTTCCGGATAGAACCCTCCGCCCGGTTTGCTCACTTCCTGTAGATTTTCAGGCAGGAAATCATCAAACTCGGTGTACAGCATGCGGATGATCTCGCTGCTTTCGTTGTTGACGATCGTCTCTTTCTTCTTATCCCATAGTGTCGGTACAGTATACCGTCCATCATATTCGGGATCGGCCTTCAGATATAGCTCCTTGAGGTATTTAAACCCGTAGAGGGGATCCTTTTCGGCGGATCCGTAGCGGCCAGAGAAGAACCATCCATCTGGGCCGAGCTCTGGATCCAGAACCACCATCTGAATCACACCTTTTAGGCCTTTCAAAGTCCAAACCAAGTTGGCTCGGTGTGCCCATGGGCAGCCGTAGTTGATGTATAGCACATAGCGATTCTTCTCGGCGGGAAACTCAGCTGATGCATCCCGAGATACCCGGGACCGAAAGGAAGAGTCCTTACGGCGGAAGTGACCGTCGGAATCGGAATGTTTGTAGATCTTGATATTCTTTAGAATTCGCAGATGGGTTAGAATTAGTTACAGTGTACTTAGGTGTGTATCGGAGGCTTACTTGGTCAGCCATGCTTAATGGTTGCTTGGCGGATACCGTGATTTGATGTTCAGAACACCCCGAGAGGTGCGACACGAACTAAGTAGTGGAAGTAGTGAAAATAGGCCTTATATCCTAACATCGACCAGGCAACTTACGACACGTTATAAGAAAGTAGATCTTGTAGAAATCAGTGGTGGGCAAATCACGACGCTGACAAATCCGGAACAATTTCCTGCGTCATCCCAATGGATCACATCATCAAGTTACAAAGCTAAGAACTATCGCGGAATTAACCTTTCGATGATTTTAAATATACATCTTAGTGACAATTATGGTACCGTCATTCAACCCCGAGCTGCCGAGCCACCTCTAGAAAGCCCCCTATATTTAAATCAACCCAGTGATCAACAAAGCCATCCTTCTTGGCCTGTTCCACTTCATCAGCAGACCAAGCCTCTTCGAAGTGCCGCTCGACGTATATAGTTTGAAAGCCGCAGCTCTTGGCTGCCTGAAGATCACTGAGATGTGCGGCTACCATGGCGCATTGCGAGGCTTCCAGTCCAAGCAGCTTGGCAGCTCCATTGTAGACCAGAGGCGAGGGTTTGTAGGCGCCGAAATTCTCGGCGCTGGTGATATGGGTGAAAGGCAGAGATCCGTGTCTTTGAAGATCCTCAAGTAGTGTCACATTTCCATTTGATAGGGTGGATGTGATGAATCTCTTGTTCAATAGATTGAGTCCCGGGACACTATCCGCCCAGGGATCAAGCCGGTGCCAGGCGAAGGTCAAAGACCGTAGCTCACTATCAGTGAACAGTTCCAGGATGCCCTGTTGACTGAGTAGATCTTGCAGCGCAGAGTAGTGGTGCTGATCTACCGATACGAAATCTTTGGATGGATCAAATGTGCTCGTGAATCTTCCGTAAGACAGCCGCCATTCTTCGGCGAGGCCGAGCCAATCCCCCTCGCTCATAGTAGACGCACGACCTCGTACATCAGCCGGGACATCCCTGCCAGACTCCAGCGCTTGCTGAGCGGCCGTGGTCAGGGCTTTGGTTACACAAGTGCGCCATTCCACGACCGTGCCAAACGTGTCGAAGAACAGGGCCCGAGGTGCCGTCATGGCGGGGCGGTCTGCAGGTGATGGATCGTTTAAACTACCCCGCAAAGGTTGCAGCCAGGATAACGCAGATGAGACTCGGTCAGGTATTGTCTAGGACCAGCCAGAATGTCGAAGGGTTGTTCCTCTGAATCTATATATGGCAGAACTGCATGCCGCGTACTCGAGCGAACCGAGGCCAAACACCAGCTGCGCTGGTTGGTTCAGGCTGATCGTTCTCTCCACCTCTAAACTCATTGCAACCACATGGCTTCAATGACGAGTCGAAAGTTCATCAATCAATTGCCGAAGTTTCAGCGATACTCATAATCGTGTGGGGCTCAATAAATTTAATGCCAATTTATGTAGAGGCGAATATTGAGCGTTCTGGAATGATCACGATATGCGGCTGGGATGCGGAACCTGTTTGACTATTCGTTTACCATTAAACTTGCTCGATCGTCATCTAAACCCTCGATGGTGTAGTTGGATATCACGTTCGGCTGTAATGGATACATATAACCGAAAGGTCACCGGCTCGATTCCGGTTCGAGGGAACATTTCTTTTTTGCCCCTCAAATTATAATTTTTTTGCCACGACAAGATAAAAAAACCCCCCACCACCAAGGGACATAAAAAAGAGACCATTCCCCCGAGCCGGAATCGAGCCGGCGACCTTTCGGTTACATGAGAATCCATTACAGCCGAACGCCATATCCAACTAGACCATCGGGGGTATTAGGTGGCAACGTTCGATTTTTCTCAATTCATCAGACTCCACGTGTGCTGGAAATTCAATCTGACAGCGGGTGGCCGCATATGATAATAAGAAATTGAACTAACTGCCGGATTTGGTTTGAACTGACCCCCTGAGCGTTTTATGAAACTGGGATTTTTAAGACTGGCATATAATTCACCGAAGCCTGCGTTCAAATGTTTGACTGTCCCATAGTTAACCAGTATTGGAATTGACATCTAATGTCGAGCTGGTGCGTTGGTGGCCTTTCCAGTGGATGATATAGCAGGCGTTTTGGTTGACTGTGTAGGATTGCACCCTCTTACGTTGGACGGGCAGAAATTCCAATATCGAACTTGCAATGCTTGAATCGAAGGAAACCCAAGTAGTCCCGGGAGTGGATTTACTACCCTTCCAAAGCATCAAATATAGGACCATGGTCCGTCGCCCGCGAAGTTGCTCGAATACCTTATCAAAAGGAAACAATGGAAAGAGAACAAAAACCTTTATCACGGCATAAAAAAGCATTCAGGATTTACCGACCCTGCGTGAGATTATCATGGTGGATAAGATAAAGAAAAAAAAAAGATGTGTAAAAAAGATATGTTCCCTCGAACCGGAATCGAGCCGGTGACCTTTCGGTTATATGTATCCATTACAGCCGAACGTGATATCCAACTACACCATCGAGGGTTTAGATAAAAATTTTCTCCAGATTAGTAACTAGGAAGGTTGCATACGAGTGGTTCTACGAGCATGCAATGCAAGTTATGGCAAGCGCTATGAGATGAGAATTTTTACACTGTGACATCGCAAATTCGATTGAAGCTGGTCATGCCAAAAATGCCGGTCGCGAACCCAGCATTCCTCGCCTCACTCTTATTCGTGCCAGACCTCTTCAATCCCAACTCCACATGCACAACTTATCCCCTAACTTGGAGCGCCTCCCAATTTGGCAATCGTGTTAGCGTCCCTGTCAGAAAGAAAGTCCCGGATTGACTTTTCAATCGATCGAATGATGAGTCGCCGCTGCAAATAGACCTGTCAACGGCCCGTGTCAGCTTGCACAAACCCCTCGCCTCGACACTGCCGGGTGGGTTATGGGCCGGTGGTCGCAATGGTTTCGCGGAGATGCTTCCTGCTTCAGGGCCTGTTGCGCTTCATGGTTTAATTGCCAATGGGCCCGGGAGTGATTGGGCCGCATGTCCCCCCGGCCCAGCGTGGTCTGGAACAAGTCATTGCCAATAAATTGGTCCAGGGGTAGCTGATTGGCGACAGTTTAATTTTTTATTTCAGCCACGTTCAACGTCTGCGATCCGAGCGGCAGATACGGACTATGGAAATGACCTATGGACGCGAAATCTCGAGGCCGGGGAACTCGTGTCCGCGTACCAGACTTGGAGGAACCGAAAAGGTGAAAAACAAAACAGAGCAGATTCAGTCCTCATTTCGGAGGTGGATGCCTCTCTCGTGGTGGAGACTGATGGATCTGGCGGAACGGAGTCTCCGTTCTTTACCCCTGATTGAACCATCGAACACGCTTGGACTTGAGCATGCATGTTACATGCTACATTTTCCAAGGGAATCAAATCGTGAGGATATCAAACAAAGAGAATCAGGTCAGATGCAGCTGGGTCACATGAAACACCTCAACACAGACCAATGGCTCTCGACGAAATTGCCCTGGACGATCATGAGCGAACCTTACGCTAGAGTGGACTGGCCAACGCCTGAACAGGGGACGCTCCTCCTCAAACACGCTAGCAGCACGCTGTCCAATTTATTCGCGTTTCGCCTCTGTTTAGTGTCCTAACAGGGCTCTGGCCTCTTTTCTTATTGGCCATGTCCCAGGCTTATTTGATTCCCATCAGGCCATGGCCTCTCATCCACTAGGGGCCCGCGCAATCACCGCAATCAAAGAAAAGGGGGGTGGAAAGGAACATGCAATTTGCACAGCCGTCCAAAAAAGATCCGAAGGCGCAAGCTAGACGCGTTGTTTGGATCCATCAGCGCGGTGGAACCCTGATCCGGGTTTTCATCACGAACGAACACCTTCCCCATATCGCCCAACTCAGGAAGTAGACTTGACGATCCCAGGATATCGGCAAATCCATGACTCCTTTTCCTCTTCCAGCCCCGACTGTGAATCCGAGGTATCTCCAGACCCTCTTCATTGACTTTTAAGCCCTTGGCCATAGACCTCGTGGCTATGTATCCTTTTTATTTTGTTTTTCCTTTTATATTATCTATACCCGAAGCTTTGCACCTGTGGGTTTGAACAGGGACCTAAGGTAAGGTTGACCAGTAGATGCCCGCCTGTCATACCTTTGAATTGCCTTTTCCCGCGAAGATTAAGAAGCATGAAGTTGACCGGGACCCAGCGTTAGTGTCTTGGTTGGCAGCTTCCAGTGGATCCAAGTGCATCCTGGCTAATCGGGTGGATTTCTAGCTTCCCCATCCCCCTAACGAACACCCCTGGACCTCTTTTTCCCCTTGTACTACCGTTAGGACAATCGTATCCGGCACGGTTCCGACTATGGCAAGGCTGATCTCACAATTTGACCTTAATTAATCTATATGCCTGGGTCAAGGGCTGCGCGTCTCGGATCGTTGCCTTCTTCGTAAACCCGCAGATCGCCCGACTTTTGTACCTTTGGCCCCATACTAATTGGGTCTCGAGCGATCGCGATCGGCCTTTCTCGAAGCCCGCTGAGGTCCCAGGGGCGCGTTGACATCTGACTTGTCTCCTCCTCTGTGATCCAAAGATCTGCCTCATCTTCGTCCTCGGTAAGTAGATTTCCGGGCCCCCGTGCATATCGAAACCACTGCATTGGCTCTCCTCGCGCTCAGGCGTGCATCCCGCATCTTGCACTTGCATCCCGCAGTCGCAGACGCGCTATAGTGGCTGACTGACTCGTTCCACAGCCACTGGAATATTTCGCTGTCTTGTGCCCAAAACTAAACGCACGGGGTCTGGTCTGGCCTGTCCGGTTGCCCGACGAAACCCAACCTCCTTGTACCATACACCTCTGGCCGGATGATTGAACCAAGGTAGACTTCAATTGAAGGGGTCCGGACGTGTTGTGCTCTGGTTAGCACCGGGAATCGAAGATATCCGGGTGGTGCTTTGACGGCTCAGCATCCCCCCAACAGATATGACGGACTTGACGTCCCCGGCTACCGACATGGCCCAGCCCTCGCCGGCACCACCGAGTACATCCCACATTTCGAAAGCGAGATCAAGATCTCGACCAGCCCGCCGTCGTCGAGATTCGTCCCCCGCACCCTCCTCCTCTCCTCCCGGCCTGCCAACACCAGCGTTCTCGCCTGATGGCCACAGTGATCTCGACGATGAGCTTCTCGAGGACGAAGGCCTTCGCCCTTCGACGCCCGCCGAATTACGCCTACCCTCCATGCATCACTTGTGTCCGAGATCCTTTCCCTTCGACGAGAGATAGAAAACAAAACCAAGGCTATCGATTCCTTAGAATTGAGTTTGGACGAATCACGAACAGAAAATGAAACGCTGGGTGAGAATTTGTCTCAGGCCATGCGCGATGCGCGGTCCTTGAAGCATCAGATCCAGCTTCTGGAGGGCGGGACGTCATCTGCGATGACGGAATTGGCCCGCGAGCGAGACGATGCCGTTGAGGACATCAACGATGTCCGCAAGAAATTAGAACAAACGCAGAAACGGGTGCGCAGCCGTGAAGAAGATACCGAGCGCACTCAGATGCTATGGGATAGGGATCGAGACAAATGGGAGAACGAGAGGAGGAATATGGAACGCAAGGTCCATGTGGTGGAAGGCCGTCTGAAGACGGTGCTGAATGAGGTCGCAGCGGCTCAAGAGGCTAAAACTCTCCATTCACAAATTCATGAAAATGACGATACCGCAAAGGAGAAGAGCAAAAACAGCGACACAGCAAGTGTGGCCTCCAGCAGCCAGGGTCGTCGGCGCACCAGTATGACCAGTATGACGTCCGATGAGGGTGAGGGTAACGATTACGCTCGAGCCGATTATCACAACGTGCGCTACTCGGTTATGAGTCTTGCTCCTGGTGCTAAGAATGATTCGGGTCTGAATTTGGCTCAGGAATTGGACTTTGATGAGGAGGATGAGTTTGCTGCTTCCGATGAGGAGCTGCCCGAGGAACGTCCTCGCTCACAGGCATCTCATACGGTCTCATCGAAGGCTAGAAGGATCCTGGGTCTTTCTCTTCAAAGTGTTGGGTCTGTTACAGCAGCCGAGTACCGTGCTTTAGACACACCCAGTCCCGTGAAGGTGCCGGGGGTATTTGTTGAGTATCGTGACGCGGGTATTCAATACTCTCCTCCTCCATCACCCGAGATTACGGCCGTGAAAGAGGATGGTCTTGCTGCCGTGCCTGTAGAAATAATTGCACAGCCAGAGCGAAACGCACACAAGGATGAGAGCCCTGAGATGAAGGATTCTGCGACACTCACCAATGTTGTCGAGATGGTATCCACGTCAAGCCAGACAATGGGCGAGCTTCCAAACCCTCCATGGACGCCCAAGCTGCCTGAGCCTGTATCGCCGGCTCAATCCAGTGAAGAGATTCCGCGGCCAATGGAGATGACATCGATGTCTACCCAAACTGACTTTGATCGTGAATCTGAGCCAGTCAAGGACGAGAAAAATACCTTGTCACCCAGCAATATTCCGGACCAGATGGGCATTCCAATGATCGCTATCCACCCCCCAGGCTCGGAACCACCTTCTCCACGGAACAGCGTTGTTCTGCCTCCCCAGACTAAAAACGTGTCTGTGCAGGCCAATTTCAGGTCGGTCATTGAAGGCCGATCTATCGCTATTCAGACTGAGGAGATCCGCATTGATACGCGCAAACTCCCTGCCAGCCTTCTTCCTTCTGCTATTCCAGACTTACCTACTCAAGCCGAACCCCGGGAAATTGTGTATCAACCCTACCGGCCGCCTGTACCTCCGCCGCGGTCTGCTAAGCGAGAACAGCAGCGTGCTAGACACCCTGAACATCCTATGCGGCCACCGCCCGCACCGCCATCCGAGCCTATCCAAGCCTACCCAGGCAATAATGATAATGGTCCACTGTCAGATGAAGTGGCTTCTGGCATTCGGAGACCTTTCCGGTCCAGCAGTTTGTTTGCCGGCTTCGAACAACTGAGCGATGATGAAGGTCCTCACGGGGAAGCGCGTGACATCTTCACTGATAACGAGCTCTTGAACAGACCATTTGCTGCATACAAAATTCGGCGTGGTAAATTGGTCAACGCCAAATCGAGAGCCAGCCTGGATTCCGTGGGTCTTCCGGAGATTAACGAGCATCTCTCTGATCCCGATTTTCGACCATCAGACCTTGGTCGCAGTTCTTCTCGCGCTACCCAACGGTCTGGTGCAACTGCTTCCAGCAGCCGCCAACCTGGCATGCGTAAGATGGCCATGATCTCTAATGGCGCAGCGACGCATCAGAGCATTCGTCCTCGCAGCCCTAGCGAACCAAGCCTCGATAGCGGCAGCGCAGGATCCAGCATTGCTCCTCCATTTCCTGTTCCGATTCGACTCAGCTCGCGCAAGGTCCCCTTAGATGGCAGTGATGGACCTCCCAGTCCTACTCGCTCTGCTGGGAGACATTTCTCAGACCGCGGTCGTGCGACGGTGGTCCGTCGACCGACTTTGCGCAGAGTTCGATCTGCAGCTGCAATGTCAAACTCGGATCTTCCAGAGCGTCCTGAGACTCTGTCATCCCCAGCACGTTCGGCGGACTCGTTTGTGCCGGACAGTCCGTTCCATGCACCTCCCATGCCATTCGATGATATCACGGCTCCTTATGAGCGGCGAAATGCCCAGAAACGGGTCTCACATCGTACGACGCCTTCTACGAATTGGGATCATGAGCGTCACGAGCGTCAGGATTCGACTGGTGGCGTGCAGCCAACCAGTGTCGTGGATGCCATTGCGCAAACTATGGTCGGCGAGTGGATGTTCAAGTATGTACGTCGCCGTAAGTCTTTTGGTATGGGCGAGTCCAAGGACAGCTGGGAAGGGAAGAACCCGGAGGAGGTATCGGCCAATATCACCAACAGTGGTGTGCGGCATAAGCGATGGGTTTGGCTTGCACCATATGAAGGTTCTATCATGTGGAGCAGCAAGCAGCCAACCAGTGGACCTGCTTTATTGGGCAAGAGTGGCAGGAAGTGTAAGTTGGCGTTTTATACTCGTTCTCATTTCGTCTCAACTAACCTGAAAAATCTAGTTACGATCCAATCCGTCTTGGATGTCAAGGATGATAATCCCCTGCCCAAAGGCGCCGGCTACCCGGCCCCCTTCAATCGCTCAATTCTGGTTCTGACACCTCAGCGAGCGCTCAAATTCACCGCGTTGACCGTTGAGCGCCATTATGTCTGGCTCACGGCATTGTCTTTCCTCAGCCATTCCTCCATTGGCCTGCACGAACTGGCCGCACTGCCACCCGCACCCCAAGAGGAGGCATCTCCCACAATCCCGCAGGCTTCCCTGCGACGTAACCCAATCCGCGACTCCATTCGCGTGGCCAAGGGCCGGCCCCGACCCATGCCCAAAGGTAAACGTTCTTTCCCGGGAACAGCGATGCCCGAATTACCACCAGATGGCTTGGACATGGCTGCAGATGCACCTCATGTCCCGCGCTTCTCCAAACACAACCGCAAGCGCAGCAACACCGCTCCACGGCCACCAGCAATCCCCACCATCCGTAGCTTCTCCAGTCAGGGCACCATGCCCTCATCACATAGCGGCACGACCATCGGTTCTGCAGAGCCACACTACTCTACTGGACCACCTCCTAGCCTTCCCCCAGGCATCGGCAGCGGACGCAGCAGTATTAGTCGTCGCACCTCCGAGGCCAGTGGCCGCACCACACACACAACTGCCAGTAATATGTTTGACATTGGCACCATGCGCATGGAAGCCTTTATTGATCACCACGCGCAAGAAATTAACCGTCCTCGCGGCGCACCGGTCGCCCGCTCGGGACACATCCGCAAGAGCTCCAGCAACTGGAGTGGACCTGACTACGACGCACCCTCCATCTACGGCAGTGAAACGTCCTTCCGATCAGACCCTTTCCGCGGCTTTTAATCCTTCATTCTTCACCAGTGGTTTTTTGATCACCACATTGGCCCTTTGCATGTATAGCCCATGATTTTTCTGGACCCGACCTACATACTTCTACTCCACATCCTATTCTCGCTTTCCTTTTACTTTGTTTGATTTCATGTTGATACCATGGTGCGAAAGAGGATACCAATTCGAAGCAGCGATGGACTCGGGGCGTTGGATGCATTGGAATCGGATGTCTACAAATATAATGTATACTGAACACATTGTCTTGTCTTCGATCACAGTAACAGTGTAGAATGTAACTCTAGCCTTATAGCGGGTATAAACATGGTTCTTCGCTGGCAACACGTTGGGTTGGGCTCTGAGGCCCCCCTCTCACAACCGAGGAGATTTGCCCCCTTTCACGCGAACATGGTAGGTATCAAAACCTTTATGGCGAGTCGTTTATCCGAATCGTAAATCACAACTTGGCGGCTTCTTTGACTTCACCGATTTTCAGCTTGGGCGAGTACTTCTTTAACACGGATTCGTTGTGGTACTGTCGTGTGTTAGCGAGTGTTCGATGAAGCCATAATCCGGCCGTGGCCAGGCCGTAATTGATTATTTCATGGCTATTAGGGCTCCCGTGTAGGGCTCTCTTGTAGGCAGGGTGTAAGGGGCATTCACCTTCCAGAATTGCTTGGACGCATCCTTGCCAGCAACGCGCTTGAGGATTTTCGCACCACCTGGGTGCTCGTCGACGAAGTTGGTCACGTCGTACACGTTGTTGTCGACGATGATGTACAGGCCCTTCTCGGCGCTATTGTGGGAGGCGACGTCGGCGGGGGTGAATGTCTGCGACATGATGGATGTGGGAGTTGACAAGGTGAGGTCTAGTGAGGTCTAGTGAGGTCATTAAAAAGCGGGAGTCTGGGGACAAAAAGGCGGGGCCGAGGTAATCTCGGTGCCTCGGAAATCGCAAATACCTTCCTTCTGATTGGACTTGAAGTGGAGCTATTGTGACATCTCGGTCGTTTTGCTGCCGATTTATGTTTGCTGTTACCTAGTTGCGTAGAGTAGAGGTCTTTTCAAATGGTGTTTTGTACTACTCACATGTTGTAGATGACCACGTAATGGCTCTTTCTTAGGGATCTACCATGGTAGGAAATCAGGAAATAAAGAAATAAATATATGGAAAAGAAACGAGTAGCCGCTAACAATGCATCTTGCTTCCTTTAAATTTGGTGAAATACTACATCCTAGCCTTTGACCTCCTATATTCAGGTTCGACTTTTCTCGCCCGTTGCACCCGTCCCCTTCGGCACTTTGCGATCCAGCCCCAGTGACTCCAGATCCTTCTTCTTGTAATAGTGCGGTGCCACTTCCACCAGCCATTCCGCCTGCAGTGGCATATTGCTGCGCATGTACTCCTTGCTGGTCAGAACCAGCTCGAAGTAGATCACCCATCGAGGGTTGACCTCGAATAGCGTGCTGGACGGGTGCAGGTACACCCCCTGGCCGGTCTTGATGGTGCGGTAGCTATCGCCGCCGCGTTGCAGTCGCGCTGCGTTGGGGAAGAAGCCAGCGGTGATGGCCTTTTGAATCGGGATAATGTTGGTGGCGCCGCAGGTACTGACGCTCACTTCGACTCGATCACACAGTTTGGCTAGTTGATCGCGAACGTCGCGGGCGCGCGTCAAGCTTCGCTGCTGCAGGAAATTCTCCTTGGCCCACACGACGCTAAAGTCTGAATCCACCCACTGGTTCCAGATGTTCAGAAGCGTCAAGTGATCGCCACCATCCTTGATGGTGAACCGGTTGCGTGCGCTATCGGCGTGGATCTTCTTGTCCTTGGGTCGGAAGAACAGTGCGCTTGACTCGCCCAGCATTGAGATGATGGAGAGCACCTCCTCCACACATCCATATTGGCCTGCTGCGAGGATTGCCTTGGCCAACATTGGGTCTGTGGGGAACTCAGCCATCTGTCGACCGACCTTGGTGAGCTCTCCACGGTCGTTGAGAGCCCCAAGTGCGTACAATTGCTCCAAAGCCCGGATGATTGTCTCCGCAGGGGGTGGGTCCATGAAGTCAAAGTCGAGTAGTTGGTCAATACCCAGCGATTTCAACATCAAAATAACGCCATTCAGATTGGTACGTTGGATCTCGGGGGTGGTGTTCTCTTCCAGCTCGTTGTAATACGCCCACTTGGTGTAAAGTCGGAAGCATTTACCGGGACCGACTCGTCCGGCACGGCCTGCTCGCTGGTTGGCCGAGGCTCGCGAGCACGGCGTCACCACGAGGCTTTCCATACCCGTACGAGGGTTGAACACATTCTCCTTGACAAATCCAGGATCGATCACGTAGACAATACCGTCGATCGTCAGACTAGTCTCGGCAATGTTGGTGGCCAACACCACCTTGCGTGCCTTTGGCGGCGTGGGCTCGAAGATCTTGGTCTGCAATTCTGACGGCAAGTTGGCATAGATGGGGCAAATGATCATCTCCGGTATTTTACTGCCCAGCTTTCGACCCGTTTCTTGTAAACTCTGCTCGGCAGCTTCAATTTCTTCTTGACCTGTCAGGAAAACCAAGATATCTCCAGGGCCCTGCGTGACGTGGATCTGGAAGACGGTGGTGATTGCTGCAGCCAGATAATTGGCTTCGGGCTGCGAAGTGTAGTGCACATCGACGGGGTATCGGCGACCGGGGATGTTGAAGATAGGTGCGTCGTCGAAGTACTTCTGGAACTTCTGCGCATCCATGGTCGCAGAGGAGATGAGCAACTTCAGGTCCGGTCGGGCCTTGGCAATGTCCTTGAGAAGTCCACATGCAATGTCTGTAGGCACTGTCCGCTCGTGGGCTTCGTCGATCATCAATGCTGAGTACTGGCCCAGATCTGGCTCCGTGAGCAACTCTCGAAGAAGCATGCCGTCGGTCATGTATTTAAGAATCGTCTTGTCGCTTGTATTGTCTTCGAATCGAATAGCATAGCCAACTTCGTTGCCAATTCTCACGCCCATCTCCTCTGCCACACGAGCTGCAACACTCATGGCTGCCACTCGACGCGGTTGAGTGCAGCCAATTTTCAAGCCATCTTTCGTGAAGCCGGCCTCGTGAAGGTACTGAGGGATTTGTGTCGTTTTACCCGACCCCGTTTCTCCAACAATAATCAGGACTTGGTGATCGTGCACAGCTTGTATTATTTGGTCTCGGAATTGATAGATGGGAAGACTCTTCCGAGTTTCCTCAATCGTGGCAGCCTTCTTCTCGGCTGCATCAACCTGCTCTTTGAACCGGAGCTGCTCCTGGGTCATCGGCTTCTGCGAGCCTTCAAGCTTAGTATCCATCACGAAATTGATCTGTTGTGAATCATCAAAAACATATTCATAGTCTCCTTCGTCGACAAATCCGGCCTTTTGGATTTGGGCCTTGGCCTTGGCTGCTTGTTCCAATTCCCATTCCTCGTGTTCTGTAACGAATCGCTCCTGACCGGCATCGTCGCGATCAACGTAGCGCTTGTATAGGGCATCCTCTTTCTTCTTGCGATCAATCTTGCCCTTCTCAGTTATATAGTCATCGGGCATCATGTAGCCATCACGGTGGTCATCGATTCGAAGTCGCTCCTCTGCGATGCGAAGAACTTCTCGGTTTCGCGCAAATTCCTCCTTCTCACGGCGTGTGAGATCTGGATTCTCGCGCAGCTCGGCAGTTTCTTCCGCGACTTGACGCCGTAACAGCGCCAGTCGCTCGGTCTCTCGCTTCTTCAGGTATTCCTGTCGCGACCGCAGACGCAGATCGGGCATCACGGCAGCTCGCGCATCGGCATTGTCGGCCAGGGCGCGACGCCGTGCTGCTTCTCCCTCTCTTGTTCGGTCTTCCACGATCTTCTTGGATTTGCTGTCATCCTTATTGGCCAGTCGCTTCGCAAACTCGTCTCGCTCTCGAAGGTCCCGTTGGCGGTCTAGCTCTTGCTTGGTTTGAGGGTCGAGGTCGTCAGCGGGAGATGCGGAGCGTGGGGAGGCAGATCCGTCTTCAAGTCTCGTCCTCTTCGAAGGGGATTCCGCGAATTCGTCCTGGTCGCCTTCGGCATACAGCTCGTCCTCGAGAATTTCCTCGTCACCCCACCTGTCGTCAAAGTCTTGTGAGTCCTTCTTCCGTAACTTCTTCGACCGTGGGGGATCCCGGCTTTCCGCATCTCGGCTGCGATCGCGTTTTCTGTTGTCGTCTTTCTCCCAGTGACTACGAGCTTCGGGTTCTCGCTTGCTCCTGCCCTGATCGCGATCGCGATCGCGATTGCGGTCTCGGTCGCTGTCCCTTTCTTTCTCCCGGCGCCGCCTCCTGTCGCGCTCTGCCTCGACATTGACAGGCCCCAGCGTGGATGCAGGGTCGGGGAGATCCTCGCCCATGTCTACCATTCGGTACTTCTTTTTCGGTTCCTTGCTCGCAGAGTTCTTCGTGGTAGATGCATTAGGCTGACTGCTCTTCCCCACACGGGAGAAGAGCTGTCCGCAGAACGTACCGATTTCATCAGGGCTGCCATCGAGGAAGGAGACCAGCTTGTCTTGTAGAGAGGATGACGATTTGGCAGAGGTGGCTTCTGCGAGAACGAAATCAACCGCGATCGGATCTGAGGCGCCGGTTAAGCGGATCAGTGAGTCTGAGATGAAAGTCTTGTTATCCATATTGGGTGCGGAAGTGCACAAGGCACACTGCTATAAGTCCGTTCACGGGATTTAACGGTAAAGAATTAAAAATCACGGCACATGGTGTCCATGAAGAAGAACAGAGATTTCTCCCACTTCTTGTGATGTGGTTGGGGGGTATTCAAGCTCCGAGAAAGTTGAAGCGGCTAGGATCATTCAGTGAGGAAGGTCTAGGAGTCCTGAGGCATATACACCTCAATTTTGCTATTTGTGGATCAATTAAAAATTAAGAACGCTATGTCTTCGCCCCCGTGGCGCAATCGGTAGCGCGCAAGACTTCTATGTGGTTTTCCTACCTCAGAGGTATCTTGAGGCTGCGAGTTCGACCCTCGCCGGGGGCTTTTTTTTTCTTTTTTCTCTTTTTTGTTGTTGAGAACAACATCATCATCTCAATTTTAGTAGCCCATTTTTGAAATAAAGTATAAATAAGTAAGAGAGATATTGGGTAAGAAGGCCTCCCAAAGCCGCGCCATAGGCGGGGTTGAGTTGACAAAACGGAACAGATTATCAGTGTAACGTTCAGAAGAAGGCGAGAAATAAAAATGTTCCAGGCCAAGACGGCTCCGCTTCGGTGTCTACGGTGTGCTATGTTGTGCTACTACTGGCTTCGTGTGCCACCTCGGGACGTTGTGGGCATAGTGTCTATGAGAGCCAGGTAGAGTCTTCGGGTAGTACTGGCATATATGGATTAGAAATAGAATATTGCGTATGTATAGTGAACTCAATAGCTATTTATACTGAATAAATTAGTCATAATGCAGGAGGCAAGATGAATATATATCGATGCCCATGGGAGCCCGCTTGGGCCTAGGTTACAGGTAAAGAATAATAAGGCCACGACGTCAGAGATTATCATGACAACCCTCGCACATATTTTATTAGTCGCGCCCGAAGTCATTCAAATGCTCAAAAAGATATGTTTTAAATAGACCAAACAAGGCGTGTATAAGAGCTTCAAGGAAATGCCTAGAAATATGGTAATGAAGATTGAACAATGAAGCGTGGAGGCCCTCCATAGGCAGAAATCGTCCACACTCAATAAACTTAGAATTATAAAGGAGCAAAGTTTTAAAAAAAAAGGATTGGGGGATATCATTGGGACTCCAGGCTGTACACTGACATGGAATCAAACTAGTCAAATAATAGACACACAACTCAAGC